AGACAACCATTTTCAAGTCTTGCCATATATTTTCAAGCAGATTTATGTCAAAACTGTAACTCAGCCACTCAGGAACATTCACTGTTTTCTTGGTAAGGAACTCAGTGTAGATTTGGCCTTCTGTTTTAGGTTATTGTCCTGCTGAAAGGTGAATTAATCTCTCAGTGTCTGGTGGAAAGTAGACTGAACCAGGTTTTCCTCTAGGATTTTGCCTGTGCTTAGCTCCATTCCATTTCTTTTTTATCCTGAAAAACTCCCCAATCCTTAATGATTACAAGCATACCAACAACATGATGCAGCCACCACTATGCATGAAAATATGGAGAGTGGTACTCAGTAATATATTGGATTTGCCCCAAACACAACACTTTGTATTCAGTACAAAAAGTGAATTGCTTTGCCACATTTTTTGCAGTATTAATTTAGTGCCTTGTTGCAAACAGGATGCATGTTTTCGTTATGTACAGGCTTCCTTCTTTTCACTATGTCAATCAGGTTAGTATTGTGGCGTAACTACAAAGTTGTTGATCCATCCTCAGTTTTCTCCTATCACAGCCATTAAACTCTAACTGTTTTAAAGTCACTATTGGCCTCATGGTGAAATCCCTGAGTGGTTTCCTTCCTCACCGGCAACTGAGTTAGGAAGGACGCCTGTATCTTTGTAGAGGCTGGTTGTATTGATACACCATTCAATGTGTAATTAATAACTTCACCATGCTCAAAGGGATATTCAATGTCAGCTTTTGTTTTTTACCCATCTACCAATAGATGCCCTTCTTTGCGAGGCATTGGAAAACCTCCCTGGTCTTTGTGGTTGAATCTGTGTTTGAAATTCAGTGCTCGACTGAGGGACCTTACAGATAATTGTATGTGTTGGGTACAGAGATGAGGTAGTCATGAAAAAATTATTTAAATCACTATTGCACACAGTGAGTCCATGTAACTTCTTATGTGATTTGTTAGTAAAATATTTATTCCTGATCTTATTTAGGCTTGCCATACTTCTTGACTCAAGACATTTCAGCTTTTCATTTTTAGTTAATTTGTAAAAAATTCTTACAACATAATTCCATTTTGCCATTATGGGGTATTGTGTGTAGGCCAGTGACACAAAATCTAAATTTCATACATTTTTAATTCAGGCTGCAACACAACAGAATGTGGAAAAAGTCAAGGGGTGTGAATACTTTCTGAAGGCACTATACCTACGTTTGCTCTGACAAAGTACTCTTAGCTAGCTAGCGATTTAGCATTAGGGGCTAACAGTTTATTTTAGCCACAACTTGCTAAGGGAAGATACACTAGCTGTTGGCAGACAGTAAGATACAAACAAATAGTGTAATTATAGAATGTTGATAGGCCTATCACGTACATGCCCTTATGTCAGTCATCAGTCAAAAAGAGGGTGTCTTGTCCTGCTCCTGACATCTGCTCCTGCATTCATCCCAGTCATCAACAACAGAGCATTGGGGTAGGTGCATGTATGACATCAATGTGTGCGCAATTACAATGATAATTTAATGTGTTCAATTTCAGAAAATGTTATATAACATAAACATACTGTTGACAAGTAGGCTATGGTATAATGGAATGTTTTGACTTGTGTGGTAGGCTTTTTTGACAATAATGTAGGCCATACGATAACGCAATATGTCACAACAGGTCTAAATATATTTGTCATGACAGTGTTATGACAATATTATGACAGTGTTAGGACTGGGTGTCAAGTGTTACCAACGGGGTACACTATAAAAACGAACATTACACAAGGCGGAGTGGCGTAACACATTTAACAAACCAAACATTGAAATACCGTTGTATAAGATAAAGTAAAAACCCAAATGGGTCCGTGTATCAATACCTGTATATAGGAAAATACGGTATACCGCTCAGCCCTATATATAATAATTTGACTTTTGCGTTATAAATGGTTAGCTCCTCAACAGTGACTCTCATTTGCTTATATGAGTGTGTTTAACATGTACACTACATGACCAAAAGTATGTGGACACTTGCTCGTCAAACATCTCATCCCAAAATCATGGGCATTAATATGGAGTTGATCCCCCCTTTGCTGCTATAACTGCCTCCACTCATCTGGGAAGGCTTTCCACTAGATCTTGGAACATTGCTGCGGGGACTTGCTTCCATTCAGCCATGAGCATTAGTGAGGTCTGGCACTGTTGCGCGATTAGGCCTGGCTCCCAGTCGGTGTTCCAATTCATCCCAAAGGTGTTCGATGGGGTTGAGGTCAGGGCTCTGCGCAGGCCAGTCAAGTTATTCCACACCGATCTCGACAAACCATTTATGTATGGATCTCGATTTGTGCACGGGTGCATTGTCATGCTGAAACAGGAAAGGGCCTTCCCCAAACTGTTGCCACAAAGTTGGAAGCACATAATCGTCTAGAATGTCATTGTATGCTGTAGCGTTAAGATTGATGATTTTAGGCTTGTGTGCGGCTACTCGGCCATGGAAACCCATTTCATGAAGCTCCCAATGAACAGTTCTTATAAGGCATTTTGGAAAACTGTAGTGAGGTTTGCAACCGAGGACAGACGGGCACTGAGCTCTTCAGTAAAGCTAGTCTACTGCCAATGTTTGTCTATGGAGATTGAATGGCTGTGTGCTTGGTTTTATACACTTGTCAGCAACGGGTGTGGCTGAAATAGCCGAATCCACATACTTTTCTATATATAGTATATTTTATGTTCTCAGACTGGTACAGTGGGAAGTACGAGCGTGAATGGCGTGACGACCGTGATGAGGTGTCCAGCGTGAAGAGCGAAGGTGCTCCCTTCCGTGCCGGGTTCCGGGGGCGTGGTCGTGGCAGGGGCCGGGGACGAGGCAGAGGAGGCTCCAGAGGTAAGCAAAAGAAATGCATTACCATGTAAATGGTCAAAGTCATCGTATCATATCGTAACTATACTGAACAAAATTATAAACGCAACATTCAACAATTGTAAAGATTTTACTGAGTTACAGTTCATTTAAGGAAATTAGTCAATTGAAATAAATTAGTTAGGCCCTAATTTATGGATTTCACATGACTGGGCAGGGGTGCAGCCATGGGTGGGCCTTGGAGGGCATAGGCCCACCCACTGGGGAGCCAGGCCCAGCCAGTCAGAATGAGTTTTTCGCCACAAAATGGCTTTATTACAGACAGAAAAACTCCTCCGTGGTTACACGTGGTCAGCAGTTGTGAGGCCGGTTGGACATACTGCCAAATTCTCTAAAACGACATTGGAGCCAGCTTATGGTAGAGAAATTAACATTCAATTCTCTGGCAACAGCTCTGGTGGACATTCCTGCAGTCAGCATGCCAATTGCACGCTCTGTGGCATTGTGTTGTGTGACAAAACTGCACATTTTTAAAGTGGCCTTTTATTGTCCACAGCACAAGGTGCACCTGTATAATGATTATGCTGTTTAATCAGCTTCTTGATATGCCACACCTGTCAGGTGGATGTATTCTGTTCGCTAAGGAGAAATGCTCACTAACAGGGATGTAAACAAATTTGTACACAAAATGAGATCAATAAGCTTTTTGTGTGTATGGAAAATTTCAGGGATTTTTTTATTTCAGCTCATGAAACATGGGACCAACACTTTACATGTTGCGTTTATATTTTTCTTCAGTTTAGTTGGATACAGTCGACTCACATCTACTGAACTGTTCAGTGCAATTCACCTGTCTTCATGCTTATGCATTTTTACCTACATGATAACCTAGATCCCAATGAAATACAAGATCTAAATGATTGAATACAAGGAAAGACCTAAACTATAGCATTTTTCAGGATTAGACTGTAGAAAGTAATACATTACCCTGTACTAAAGATTTCAAACTCCATTTGAGGCGTCCAATTTAGTGTTCGGGCTCTATTTTAGCAACCTAACACAATGGTTAATATTCGATGGTGTAGCGCTATCGATCAGAAATATTTTTGCTATTTTCACAGCGGCAATTATGAGCGCAATAGTTGGTGGTGGCACGAAAGGGCTGGGTTTTGATTAATAAATCAATTGTAGATATGACGAGGGCTTGGCCACTCACTGGCCAATCAATGCTATCCATGGGGCAGAATTCTCGTCCTAGTCAATTGTAGCTCAGCTGGTAGAGCACGGCGCTTGTAACGCCAAGGTAGTGGGTTCGATCCCCGGGACCACCCATACACAAAAATGTATGCACGCATGACTGTAAGTCGCTTTGGATAAAAGCGTCTGCTAAATGGCATATTATTATTATTATTATTATTATTATTATAGCATACAGTAAAAAATAACAGTAAAATAAAACTAAATGTTTGCTCAATATGTTCATCATAGGAGAGCTGTAGCTCCGCCCACTGGTGATGTGGAGCAGAGCATGCTGGACGATCTCTAACTGAGGAGAAGGAAGTAACTAGAGAAAGTACACAAGCCAAGTGATAAGTTCCAGCCATCTGCTGTGATTACCTTTAGTTAGCATTCTTTGTGTTAGCCAAGGACAGTGTGCGTCCATCAGAAATCACACACACTCTTGGTTAACACAATTGTCATGCCATACACTGTGTTGTGCTGTGCCATTCCTGCTATATGTGAATCATCATCATTAAACTACCTCAACTGGAATCCTACCTGTCTGCCATCTGTGCCCTGACAAGCACCTGGGAGAGAACACATAGTGCTAAGAATATACAGTCCAACAGGTCCTCCACTACATTGTGGTTCATTCGAGACGGAGCTTCAGTGCTTTTTCCCAGAGCAAGATGCAAGACTACTACGTGAGTGAAGCATTCACATAGCCAGCAGTTCGCCCGAAGCGTCAGACACGGCCACCACAACATCTACAAGATCACGAGGTAGGGTATGTGAGCCATAGATGGCACGTTTCACCACACCATAGCACAGCACAGTATGATGTACATGAGCAAGAAGAGGAGTGGTGTTCTCATCATGAAGGAGCGGCCAAGATGACCCCCTTCACCTCGTCACGTGTAACCTCATCCACTCGCTAGGTTCAATGGGATACTGCCCCAGAGAGGGACCATCAGAGCTATCACCACAGAGGGTATGGTTCAGAACCCCAGCTAGCCCACAGCCTGCAGAGAAAAAGAGAGCACATGGAGGTAAGCAGAGAAGCCTCCACACCCTACGCTTACCGGGAACACAGGAAGCTGCCAACAGCTTACCAAGCAGAGCTACAGGAGTTCCGGAAAGAGAATGAGAAGCTGCGTATATCTCAACTAGCTGTACAAAGAGACTTCGCCAAGTTTGATGGAGTTAAACATGAAATGAGGAAGCTTGTGGATAAGGTCTGCAGCCTCCAGCCACTCCTTCACCCGACTGCAGCTAGCTACACCCCCACAAAGTCTACTCAACAACAATCTGGCCCGCTGTACGAATTGAGTCGGTTCTAACAGTACACCTCATTTCCCCACCAGAACTAGAGGAATAGTTCTGCGAGGAATACAGTGAGGAGTACGATAATGATGAAGAGGAATGCGATGATGGTGAGTGGCCTGACCACCATCATGGCCTACATAGGAAGAATCAGAGCAGCCAGAGAAAGAACAAGTAGTAGACCTCCTGGACAAGATGATGAGTGAGCTCAAAGCCATGAGTTATCAGGCTACTTCCGCTGCTGCTAAGCAGAGCAGACCAGCATCAGTAGTCATGAATCCAGGCCACCCTCCAAGAGAGGCTACACCTTCTCCATGTCCCAGAGAGTCAAGTTACCACCCTGATGGGGACTATAGCCAACCTCCTCACCAGGCCAGTGCTGCACCTTCACAGCGCTACGTTGGTGCAGTGACCCGGCAGTCTTTTCCTCCAAGGGATCACCCTCATGCAGCAGCCTATGAGCCACGAAGAGCTGCCAGCCAAAGGCAACCAGAGTACCCACCAGGTCGCCGACCAGGTCAGGTTCAATGGATACCTAGGTCAGACCCTCAACCCCATCCGCAGCCCCCTAGAGGCTTCACCGCCACAGCAGCAGCAGTGCAGACCTACAGAGGGCCTAGGCCAACCATCCCTAACTTCAACAGCTGAGACCCAAGTGAGTTCGCTCGACTGATGATTGCACTAGGGAACCTCCTGCCGGGTGACGGGAACGAGCTCTTCAAGTATCAGATCCTAGTGGATCACTTAAAGCTAGAAGAAGCCTGCCTAGTGGCAGATTCATACCTCAACTCCCCCACGCCTTACTCAGACGCCATGGCAGCCCTGAACGAGAAGTTTGGACAGCCACACCATGTCACCCTGAAGAAGATTGTGTGTGTCATGGACTCTCCCGTTGTACGCCGTGGAGATACAGCTGCCTTCGTTCACACGACAGGTCCTTAGTGGGCATGCTCTGGACACTGGGTCCAGATGGCGACAGAGCTGATGTGTGGGTCTTATGTGGCACGCCTACTCGGCAAGCTACCACCTGAGATGAGTTCAGACTTCCGCCGTCGCATATTTCAACAGCCAGGTACCACATACACCTTACTCGAGTTCTCAGTGGTTACAGTATGAGTATTGGTGTCAAGACTACGATGGCCAGTCATCAAGCAAAGGGCATAAGGACAGACTAGCAGACCATTCCTTTCCATTGACGAGCCTTCAGAAGTACAAGCACTTGGTTGGTCTCCCCCTACAGTCGTTCATTAACGCCAAGCCTCTAGTCATCATTGGTGCAGATCATCCTCATTTGATCACCCCCATCGAACCAGTGAGGTTGGGTCCTCCGGGCGGGCCAGCAGCTGACCGGACCAGACTTGGATAGCCGCTTCACGGTCCGGCAAGGTTGGTGGAGCAACACCTCAGGCCACAGCAGTGTTTAGTGACGTGCATCATTCCCCCAAATTCTGAGTTGTTCAGGAATGTCGAGAAGCTCTGGCAAGTTGACACCTTACCGTTCTGGAACGAGAAAGAGGTGACCCGGTCGAGGCAGGACCAGCAAGCCGTCGACCTGCTCGAGAACCAAGACTGTATGCATAGAGGTAGACTGAGTGTTTCGCTACGCCACCCCGCTACTGCACTAGAGAGACACGCCCTGCTTCCAAGCCCCTAAGGAAGCGGTGATGCAAAGCCTTAGAAGGACAGAGAGATGGCTTGCTAAGGATCCAGAGAGAGCTGGAGCCTACAGTGCTGAGATACAGAAGCTGGTGCAGGCAGGCTCAGTTAAGAAGTTAAGCTCCAACATGCTCACTCAAGAAGGAGATTCGTGGTACATCCCCCACCACATGGTGAGTCACAAGGGCAAGAATCGCATCGTATTCAACTGCTCCTACCAGTTCCAGAGTCTCAACCTGAACGAGTCCCTGCTGCCAGGACCTACCTATGTCACTCCTGGGAGTACTGTTGCGGTTCCGCGAGCATGCCGTCGGGGATCAGTGTCGACATCAAGGAGATGTTTCATCAGGTCCGCCTCCTACCTGAAGATAGGCCCCTCCTACGGTTTGTTTGGCGTGACATGAAGAGAGAAGAGCCCCCTGATGTCTTTGAGTGACAGGTGCTTCCCTTTGGCACCACATGCAGCCCATGCTGCATCTTTGCCTTCCAGAGGCATGTCACAGAAAATGGTGAGCCTGTCGAAGATATTCGGTTCTCTGTAGAAAGGTGCTTCTCTGTAGAAGGGTGCTTCTACAGACAGCCAGTGGACAAGTTACGAGAGCCCTGGCATCTGGCGGGTTCGAGCTACACAAGTGGGACAGCAACATGCCAAGTATCATCAATCACCTACCAAAGGAGGCCAGAACAGACAACCTCGAGCTTTGGTTCGCCTAAGAGAAAGAAGATTGAGTCTACCCTAGGCCACAGCTGGCACTGTCAGTCAGACACCTTGGGGTACAAGCTTCGAGCCGTGGACTATGGAGTGCCGACCATGCGGAATGTGTACAAGGTTCTCACCAGCCAGTACATTCATTCTGCCGTACACCACCTGAGCGAAACTGTTGGTCCAGCGTCTCTGGGATAAACATTGGGACTGGGATGACCCTCTTCTCCCTCAAGATCTACTCCAGGCTTGGAACAATTGGGAAGGAGAGCTACAGATCCTGCCACGCATCACCCTGCCTAGGTGCTATGTACCTGCAGATGTCGACCAGTTGAGTGTCACCAGAGAGGGCCATGTGTTCTGCGAAGCTTCAGAGAAGGCCTACGGGTGATAGTCAGAAGATAGTCCTTGCAAGACCGACCTGTCCTTCCTGATGGCCAGGTCCAGAGTTGCTCCTAATCGACTACATTCCATGCCAAGACCCGAGCTATGTGCAGCCGTCACTAGAGCCCAGCTTGCCAAGCTGCTAGAGAAAGAGCTTACCTTTAAAAATCAACCAGACCACCCTGTGGACAGATTCCACAACCGTGCTGATGTGGCTGCAGTCGGAATCCTTCCACTTCAAACCTTTTTTAGGCACCCGGGTGGCTGAGCTTCAAGAACTTACAGACCTCTGTGCATGGCGCTATGTGGATTCGGCGAGGAATCCCACAGATGACATCGAGATGCAAGACTCTGAAAGACCTTGCGGAGCTCAACAGATGGCGCCAATGACCATCATTTCTCCTTCAAAGTCCAGATGAGTGGCCAGCTAAGCCAAAAGCTCATCCTGAAGAGGACACGTCTGAACTCCGGAAGCCCACCTTCTGTGGTGTCACTGCAATTGCTGGTCCCCAAGACCCAGATGTGAGCCAGTGTACCACCTGGAAGGAGCTTCTAGGACATGCTACAGTTCATCCTATCGTCCTCGATCCTGGTCATCCATCCACTAGACTCCTGATCCAAGATTACAACAGCCGTATGTGCCATCCCGGCCCTGAGAGGGTGTTTGCAGAGATCCGCCGCACCTTTTGGATCCTCCGTGGGTGGGAAGCCATCCGTCGCTTCCAGCACACCTGCACAGAATGCCGTAGATGGAAATCCAGACCTGCTGTCCCCAAGATGGCTGACCTGCCAGCTGCTCGCCTGCACCTCTTCAAGACAGCCTTCCACTCCACAGGCATGGACTGCTTCAGGCCTGCCGTAACCCCTCCCAAGAGCCCTTAGCCTTTCTCAGGAGCAAATTGACGTCGCAATTTGGGGGTGGCTGGACGAAAGACTATTGAGAGTAAATATTAGTTCATCATAGGAGCGCTGTAGCTTCGCCCACCGGTGATGTGGAGCAGAGAATGCTGGGCAATATAACTGAGGAGAAGGAAGTAACTAGAGAAAGTACACACGCCAAGTGATAAGTTCCAGCCATCTCCTGTGATTACCTTTAGTTAGCATTCTTTGTTTTAGCCAAGGCCAGTGTGCGTCCTTCAGAAATCTCACACACTCTTAGTTAACACAATTGTCAAGCCATACACTGTGCTGTGCCGTTCCTGCTCTATGTGAATCAGCGTCATAAAACTACCTCAACTGGAATTTACATTTACGTCATTTAGCAGACGCTCTTGTCCAGAGCGACTTACAAATTGGTGCATTCACCTTATAGCCAGTGGGATAACCACTTTACAATTATTATAAAGACATTTTTTTTATTTTTTTTATATAATATATATATATATATTTTTTTTTATTCTACCTGTCTGTCATCTGTGCCCTTACAAGCACCTGGGAGAGAACACATAGTGCTACGAAAACGCTAACAATATACAGTAGTGGTCAAAAGTTTTGAGAATGACACAAGTATTGGTCTTCACAAAGTTTGCTGCTTCAGTGTTTTTAGATATTTTTGTCAGATGTTACTATGGTATACTGAAGTATAATTACAAGCATTCCATAAGTGTCAAAGGCTTTTATTGACAATTACATTCAGTTTATGTAGAGAGTCAATATTTGCAGTGTTGACCCTTCTTTTTCAAGACCTCTGCAATCCACCCTGGCATGCTGTCAATTAACTTCTGGGCCACATCCTGACTGATGGCAGCCCATTCTTGCATAATCAATGCTTGGAGTTTGTCAGAATTTGTGGGTTTTTGTTTGTCCACCCGCCTCTTGAAGATTGACCACAAGTTCTCAATGGGATTAAGGTCTGGGGAGTTTCCTGGCCATGGACCCAAAATGTCGATGTTTTGTTACCCGAGCCACTTAGTTATCACTTTTGCCTTATGGCAAGGTGCTCCATCATGCTGGAAAAGGCATTGTTTGTCACCAAACTGTTCTTGGATGGTTGGGAGAAGTTGCTCTCAGAGGATGTGTTGGTACCATTCTTTATTCATGGCTGTGTTCTTAGTCAAAATTGTGAGTGAGCCCACTCCCTTGGCTGAGAAGCAACCCCACACATGAATGGTCTCAGGATGCTTTACTGTTGGCATGACACAGGACTGATGGTAGTGCTCACCTTGTCTTCTCCGGACAAGCTTTTTTCCGGATGCCCCAAACAATCGGAAAGGGGATTCATCAGAGAAAATGACTTTACCCCGTCCTCAGCAGTCCAATCACTGTACCTTTTGCAGAATATCAGTCTGTTCCTGATGTTTTTCCTGGAGAGAAGTGGCTTCCTCGCTGCCCTTCTTGACACCAGGCCATCCTCCAAAAGTCTTTGCCTCACTGTGCGTGCAGATACACTCACACCTGCCTGCTGCCCTTCCTGAGCAAGCTCTGCACTGGTGGTCCCCCGATCCCGCAGCTGAATCAACTTTAGGAGACGGTCCTGGCGCTTGCTGGACTTTCTTGGGCGCCCTGAAGCCTTCTTCACAACAATTGAACCTCTCCCCTTGAAGTTCTTGATGATCCGATATATGGTTGATTAGGTGCAATCTTACTTGCAGCAATATCCTTGCCTGTGAAGCCCTTTTTGTGCAAAGCAATGATGACGGCACATGTTTCCTTGCAGGTAACCATGGTTAACAGAGGAAGAACAATGATTTCAAGCACCACCCTCCTTTTAAAGCTTCCAGTCTGTTATTCTAACTGAATCAGCATGACAGAGTGATCTCCAGTCTTGTCCTCGTCAACACTCTCACCTGTGTTAACCAGAGAATCACTGACATGAGATCAGCTGGTCCTTTTGTGGCAGGGCAGAAATGCAGTGGAAATGTTTTTTGGGGATTAAGTTCATTTTCATGGCAAATAGGGACTTTGCAATTAATTGCAATTCATCTAATCACTCTTCATAACATTCTGGAGTATATGCAAATTGCCATCCTAAAAACTGAGGCAGCAGACTTAGTGAAAATGAATATTTGTGTCATTCTCAAAACTTTTGACCACGACTGTACAGTCCAACAGGTCCTCCACTTCAGATTGTGTATGTGTGCCATTGAGGTAAGAGTGCCTTTGAATGGGGTATGGTAGTAGGTGCCAGGCGTACCAGTTTCAGTGTGTCAAGAACTGCAACGCTGCTGAGTTTTTCATGCTCAACAGTTTCCCGTGTGTATCAAGAATGTTCCACCACCCAAAGGACATCCAGCCAACTTGACACAACTGTGGGAAGCATTGGAGTAAACATGGGCCAGCATCCCTGTGGAACGCTTTCTACACCTTGTAGTCCATGCCCTGACGAATTGAGGCTGTTCTGAGGGTAAAATGGGTGCAAGTCAATATTATGAAGGTGTTCCTAATGTTTTGTACACTCAGTGTATAATAGCTTAGATTGAAATGAACGGATTGATGTCAATTGTTGTTTTATATATCAGTTCATAGACCGATGCCAAGGGATTGCGACTTCCAAGACCTGTTCCCAACTGACTTGAATTTTATGCGGCGTAGCTTTTAATGAGAATGACAGATCTATAACTCAAATTTCTATGTGAATTTGCTCGGGTTGCCAAAAAAGTTACATATTGCAGCTTTAAAGTCAAAAGGTTTGACAGCTTTGCTGCATAAAATTGAAGTCGCTGCATTAATTTCTAACTTGTCAATGTTTTAATTGGATCAGATTTTTATAGCTCATATTTCAATGGCCATAATGAACAAATATGGTGACCTTGTTTTAGTCCTATTGACAATTCAAAGTTCTCAGAGAAGTAAACATTGTTCATGAATTATTATACATAACCTTTACCCATCCTATAAGATTCTCTGAAGTTGAAAAAGTCTTGGCACTTATAAATGAATTCTCAAAATCTGGATGACAAGCCCCCCCATCCACAGGTCACTGAATGGTTTGATGAGCATGACAATGATGTAAACCATTTGCCATTGCAATCTCAGTTACCAGATCTCAACCCAAATGAACACTTATGGGAGATTCTGGAGTGGCGCCTGAGACAGCGTTTTCCACCGCCATCAACAAAAAACTAATTATGACATTTCTCGGGAAGAATGGTGTCTCATCCCTCCAATATTGAAGAGGTTTTGGGCCTCAACTTTTAAGAGACTTGTTTTTTGTACTGTCCCCCCGGATGCTGCTTCATTCAGTTGGAGAAACATTTTTTTGACTTCATTCTCCATTTGTAGAAAAATTCTGTATGATCTATGTTGAAGGTTCAAGAAGAACTTAGCATTTTTTTGTTTAACTGAGTCAGGTTTGTTGGCCTCCTTGCTCGCACACACTTTTTCAGTTCTGCCCACACATTTTCTATAAGATTGAGGTCAGGGCTTTGTGATGGCCACTCCAATACCTTGACTTTGTTGTCCTTAAGCCATTTTGTCACAACTTTGGAAGTATGCTTGGGGTCATTCGATGATGGTGTTCTTCGGCTTGCAAGCATTCCCCTTTTTCCTCCAAACATATGGTGGTCATTATGGCCAAACAGTTCTATTTTTGTTTAATCAGACCAGAGGACATTTCTCCAAAAAGTACGATCTTTGTCCCCATGTGCAGTTGCAAACCGTAGTCGGACTTTTTTATGGCGGTTTTGGAGCAGTGGCTTCTTCCTTGCTGAGCGGCCTTTCAGGTTATGTCGATATAGGACTCGTTTTACTGTGGATATAGATACTCTTCACAAGGTCTTTTTGCTGTTGTTCTGGGATTGATTTGCACTTTTCTGCACCAAAGTACGTTCATCTCTAGGAGACAGAACGCGTCTCCTTCCTGAGCGGTATGATGGCTGCATGGTCCCTTGGTGTTTATACTTGCGTACTATTGTTTGTACAGATGAACGTGGTACCTTCAGGCATTTGGAAATTGCTCCCAAGCATGAACCAGACTTGTGGAGGTCTACAATTTTTTTTCTGAGGTCTTGGCTGATTTCTTTTGATTTTCCCATGATGTCAAGCAAAGAGGCACTTAGTTTGAAGGTAGGCCTTGAAATACATCCACATGTACACCTCCAATTGACTAAAATGATGTCAATTAGCCTATCAGAAGCTTCTAAAGCCGTGACATCATTTTCTGGAATTTTCCAAGCTGTTTAAAGGCACAGTCAACTTAGTGTATGTAAACTTCTGACCCACTGCAATTGTGATACAGTGAATTATAAGTGAAATAATCTGTCTGTAAACAATTGTTGGAAAAATTACTTGTGTCATGCACAAAGTAGATGTCCTAACCGACTTGCCAAAACTATAGTTTGTTAACAAGAAATTTGTGGAGTGGTTGAAAAACAAGTTTTAATGACTCCAACCTAAGTGTATGTAAACTTCAGACTTCAACTGTATCTACAGTACAAAATCCATGTGTGTGTATGCATGTGTCTGTGCCTATGTTTGTGTTGCTTGACAGTCCCCGCTGTTCCATAAGGTTTTTTTTCTTCTGTTTTTTAAATCTAATTTTACTCTGTGGATCAGTTACTTGATGTGGAATAAAGTTCCATGTAGTCATGGCTCTATGTGGTACTGTGCGGCTCCCATAGTCTGTCCTGGACTTGGGGACTGTGAAGAGACATCTTGTGGGGTATGCATGGGTGTCCGAGCTGTGCGCCAGTAGTTCAGACAGACAGCTCGGTGCATTCAACATGTCAATACCTCTCATAAATACAAGTAGTGATGAAGTCAATCTCTCCTCCACTTTAAGCCAGGAGAGATTGACATGCATATTATTAATATTAGCTCTCTGTGTACATCCAACGGCCAGCCGTGCTGCCCTGTTCTGAGCCAATTGCAATTTTCCTAAGTCCTTTTTTGTGGCACCTGACCACACGACTGAACAATAGTCCAGGTGTGACAAAACTAGGGCATGTAGGACCTGCCCACTTTATTATGGACAGACTTCTGCCCATCTTAGCTACTGTTGTATCAATAGGTTTTGACCATGACAGTTTACAATCCAGGGTTACTCCAAGCAGTTTAGTCATCTCAACTTGCTCAATTTCCACATTATTTATTACAAGATTTAGTTGAGGTTTAGGGTTTAGTGAATTATTTGTCCCGAATACAATGCTTTTAGTTTTAGAAATATTTAGGACTAACTTATTCCTTGTCACCCGCTCTGAAACTAACTGCAACTCTTTAAGTGTTGCAGTCATTTCAGTCGCTGTAGTAGCTGACATGTATAGTGTTGAGTAATCCGCATACATAGACACTCTGGCTTTACTCAAAGCCGGTGGCATGTCATTAGTTAAGATTGAAAAAAGTAATGGGCCTAGAAAGCTGCCCTGGGGAATTCCTGATTCTACCTGGATTATGTTGGAGAAGCTCCCATTAAATAATACCCTCTGTGTTCTGTTAGACAGGTAACTCTGTATCCACAATATAGCAGGTGGAGTAAAGCCATAACACAAGTTTTTCCAGCAGCAAACTATGATTGAAAATGTCAAAAGCCGCACTGAAGTCTAACAAAACAGAACCCACAATCTTTTTATCATCAATTTCTCTCAGCCAATCATCAGTCATTTGTGTAAGTGCTGTGCTCGTTGAAAGCATGCTGAAAGTTTGTCAATTTGTTGACTGTAAACTAGCATTGTATCTGGTCCCCCAAAAAAAAATTCAACAGTTTGCTAAGGGTTGGTAACAGGCTAATTGGTCGGCTATTTGAGCCAGTAAAGGGGGCTTTACTATTCTTAGGTAGCGGAATGACTTTTGCTTCCCTCCAAGCCTCGGGGCACACACATTCTAGTAGGCTTAAATCGAAAATATGGCAAATAGGAGTGGCAATATCGTCCGCTATTATCCTCAGTAATTTTCCATCCAACTTGTCAGACCCCGGTGGCTTGTCATTGTTAATAATTTTTTCACCTCTTCCACACTCACTTTACGGAATTCAAAATTACAATGTTTGTCTTTCATAATTTGGTCAGATATACTTGGATGTGTAGTGCCAGCAATTGCTGCTGGCATGTCATGCCTAAGTTTGCTAATCTTGCCAATGAAAATGTTTTAAAGTAGTTGGCAATATCAGTTGGTTTTTTTGATGAATGAGCCATCTGATTCAATGAATGATGGAGCTGAGTTTGCCTTTTTCCCCAACATTTCATTTAAGGTGCTCCAAAGCTTTTTACTATCATTCTTTGTCATTTATCTTTGTTTCATAATGTAGTTTCTTCTTCTTTTTATTCATTTTAGTCACATGATTTCTCAATTTGGAATACGTTTGCCAATCGGTTGTGCAGCCAGACTTATTTGCCATTCCTTTTGCCTCATCCCTCTTAACCATAAAATTTTTCAATTCCTCACCAATCCATGGTGGAGTTTTTACAGTCATTTTCTTAAGAATAAGCACTTTCATAAATGTGTCAAGTGCAGTGTCTGTTTGCTCCTCATTACACACCACGGACCAACATATATTCTTTACATCAACAACATAGGAATCACTACAAAACGTATTATATGACCTCTTATACACAATATTAGGCCCAGCCTTTGGAGATATGGCTACTATATTGTGATCACTACATCCAATGGATTTGGATACTGCTTTCAAACAAATCTCTGCAGCATTAGTAAAGATATGATCAATACATGTTGATGATTTAATTTCTGTGCTGTTTGTAACTACCTTGGTAGGTTGACTGATAACCTGAACCAGGTTGCAGGCACTGGTTACAGTTTGAAGCTTTCTCTTGATTGGGCAGCCTGATGAAAGCCAGTCAATATTTAAATCACCCAGAAAGTATACCTCTCTATTGATATCACATACATTATCAAGCATTTCACACATGTTATCCAGATACTGTCTGTTAGCACTTGGTGGTCTATAGCAGCTTCCCACCAGAATGGGCTTTAGGTGAGGCAGATGAACCTGTAGCCATATTACTTCAACAGTATTTAACATGAGATCCTCTCTAATCTTCACATGAATGTGGTTCTGAATATAAACAGCAACACCTCCACCATTGGCATTTCTATATTTTCTGTAACTGTTATAACCTTGTATTGCTACCACTATCATCACATGTATTATCTAAGTGAGTTTCAGAATATGAATGTCATCTGTTACTAGCAAATTATTGATTTAATGAGCCTTGTTTCTTAAGCTACATATGTTAATGTAGGCTATTTTGAGCACTTTTATTCTGGGATGCGTACTTGTTTTTATTGCTTTACTAGGAAGCTTAGCAGCAGCAGATGTGCTCATGTTCTTTATGTTAGTGCACGGTGAGCTGCACACCGTGGACTTCTTCCTAGGGTACACTGGCTCAGTGCTAACAGTATAAATCTGGTTCTTTGGCACATGAGATTTATACTGATTTATACTTCAGAGGCATTCAGGGCAGTTAGAGGGACATAAATTAGGTTACTTATATTGGGTTCAACAGCTGTGCTGCAAATGTCTCCCTGCTGTTGCTGAACTCTCGTAGCTCTGTAGCCTTGTTTACTTGTAGTAGGCTTGTGACAGCGGCCCTGTAATGGTTTACTACTGCTGTGTCTCCCACCAGGCCACTATGACTACAATTATGGCTACAAGGCCTACAACGGGAAGGACGGCGCCTACGGACAGAAGTTTGGCGCTCCAGTGACCTACTACTACGACAACATGAGCAGCAATGACCTGTACTCAGTTGACCAGGACCTGCTTAAGGACTACGTCAAAAGGCAGATGTGAGTACTACCTACCGTTGGTTACTTTGCTTTAAATGTACTTCCATTGGTTACTACGCTTTATAGGTCAAAGTTTCAAGAGGAAGCAGATGTCACTGATATTTTGTTCAGCCTTGGAATAGTGTAATATAATATATAGAAGCCATTTAGCAGACACTTTTATCCAAACCGACTTAATCATGCATGCATTCATTTTCATATGGGTGGCCCCAGAATATAACATGGAATCGGAATCAAGGTGTAAATACATAGGCCTATACTATTTCCATGATGAAATTCCATCGCCAATACAACTGGTTACAATTGAAATGCCATTCATCTCCAACTCAAACGAAACTGAGAACTTAGGCAAATATTTAGTCTGAACACTTTTCCCACATATCATTGTACTCCCTGACAAAGGCTTTGTTGAAAGTTTTTTAAGTTTTTTTCTTCTATTGAACATGCCTTCATAATAAAGGCATTTTAATCATAGGAAGAGTACCTTGATCCTCCTTGTTTTTGGACTTTCCGCATCTCTCCGTAGTGAGTACTACTTCAGCCTTGACAACCTGGAGCGGGACTTCTTCCTGCGCAGGAAGATGGACCAGGAGGGCTTCCTGTCCCTTGGCCTGATCGCCAGCTTCCACAGGGTGCAGGCCCTCACCACTGACGTCAACCTCATCGTAGAGGTACACTATGTTCCTGATTTACATGTTTATATAGCCAGATGGCTTTAGTCTCAGAACTAAAATAAGTTTCTATGCCTCATCAGCTGTATAATTTGTATGTAATTCAAGGCTTTTCATTGAGCTTTGACTTGTAAAAAACAGTTTCTGCAGACCATACTTCATAGGACTGATCTCTCTTGAAAAATAGAAACATCGATGTTAAATATCTATCTACACACCCCTTAAAATGTGTGGATATGGCTATTTGAGCCACACCCGTTGCTGACATGTGTATGAAATCGAGCACACAGACATGCAATCTCCATAGACAAACATTGGCAGTAGAATGGCCTTACTGAAGAAATTAAATGGGTTTCCATGGCTGAGCAGCCGCACACAAACCTAAGATCACCATGCGCAATGCCAAGTGTCGGCTGGAGTGGTGTAAAGCTTGCCGCCATTGGACTCAGGAGCAGTGGAAACGCGTTCTCTGGAATGGTGAATCACGCTTCACAATCTGGTAGTCCAACAGACAAATCTGAGTTTGGCAGATGCCAGGAGAACGCTACCTGCCCCAATGCATAGTGCCAACTGTAAAGTTTGGTGGAGGAGAAATAATAATCGTCTGGGGCTGTTTTTCATGGTTCGGGCCAGGCCCCTTAGTTCCAAAGAAGGGAAATCTTAATGCTACAGCATACAATGACATTCTAGACGATTCTGTGCTTCCAACTTGTGGCAACAGCTTGAGGAAGCCCATTTCCTGTTTCAGCATGACAATATACCCGTGCACAAAGCGAGGTCCATACAGAAATGTTTTTTTGAGATCGGTGTAGAAGAACTTGACTGGCCTGCGCAGAGCCCTGACCTCAACCCCATCGAACAACTTTGTGATGAATTGGAACGCCGACTACGAGCCAGGCCTAATCGCCCAACATCAGTGCCTGACCTCACATGCTCTTGTGGCTGAATGGAAACAAGTCCCTGCAGCAATGTTCCAACATCTAGTGGAAAGCCTTCCCAGAAGAGTGGAGACTGTTATAGCAGCAAAGGGGGAACCAACTCCATATTAATGCCTATGATTTTAGAATGAGATGTTCGACGAGCAGGTGTCCACATACATTTGGTCATGTATTTTGTGTATATATATATATATATATATATATATCACTACCGGTCAGAAGTTTTAGAACACCTACTCATTCAAGGGTTTTTCTTTGTTTTTTCTACATTGTAGAATAATACTGAAGACATCAAAACTATGAAATAACACATATGGAATCATGTAGTAACCAAAACATTTTGTTAAACAAATCAAAATATATTTGAGATTTCAGATTCTTCAAATAGCCACCATTTGCCTTGATGATAGCTTTGCAGACTCTTGGCATTCTCTCAACCAGCTTCACTTGGAATGCTTTTCCAACAGTCTTGAAGAAGTTACCACATATTCTGAGCACTTGTTGGCTGCTTTTCCTTCACTCTGCGGTCCGACTTGATTTGGTTGAGGTTGGGTGTTTTTGGAGGCCAGGTCATCTGATGCAGCACTCCATCACTCTCCTTCTTGGTAAAATAGCCCTTACACAGCCTGGAGGTGTTTTGGGTCATTGTCCTGTTGAAAAACAAATTATAGTCCCACTAAGCCCAAACCAGATGGGATGGCGTATCGCTGCAGAATGCTGTGGCAGCCATGCTGGTTAAGTGTCATCACAGACAGTGTCACCAGCAAAGCACCCCCACACCATAACACCTCCTCCTCCATGCTTTACGGTGGGAAATACACATGTGGAGATCATCCGATCATCCACACCGCTTCTCACAAAGACACAGCGGTTGGAACCAAAGATCTCAAATTTGGACTCCAGACCAAAGGACACATTTCCACCGGTCTAATGTCCATTGCTCGTGTTTCTTCGCCCAAGCAAGTCTCTATTTCTTATTGGTGTCCTTTAGTAGTGGTTTCTTTGCAGCAATTCGACCATGAAGGCCTGATTCACACAGTCTCCTCTGAACAGTTGATGTTGAGATGTGTCTGTTACTTGAACTCTGTGGAGCATTTATTTGGGCTGCAATTTCTGAGGCTGGTAACTCTAATGAACTTATCCTCTGCAGCAGAGCTAACTCTGGGTCTTCCATTCCTTTGGCGGTCCTCATGAGAGCCAGTTTCATCATAGTGCTTGATGGGTTTTACGACTGCACTTGAAGAAACATTCAAAGTTCTTGACATTTTCCTTATTGACTGAACTTCATGTCTTAAAGTTATGATGGACTGTCGTTTCTCTTTGCTTATTTGAGCTGTTCTTGCCATAATATGGACTTGGTATTTTACCAAATAGGGCTATATTCTGTATACCACCCCTACCTTGTCACAACACAACTGATTGGCTCAAATGCATTAAGAAGGAAAGAAATTCCACAAATTAACTTTTAACAAGGCACACCTGTTAATTGAAATGCATTTCAGGTGACTGCCTCATGAAACTGGTTGACAGAATGCCAAGAGTGTGAAAAGCTGTCATCAAGGGAAAGGGTGGCTACTTTGAAGAATCTCAAATATAAAATATGTTTTGATTTGTTTAACACTGTTTTGGTTACTACATGATTCCAAATGTGTTATTTCATAGTTTTGATGTCTTCACTATTATTCTACAATGTAGAAAATAGTAAAAATAAAGAAAAACCGTTGAATGAGTAGGTATTCTAAAACGTTTGACCAGGTGTGTGTGTGTGTGTGTGTGTGTGTGTGTGTGTGTGTGTGTGTGTGTGTGTGTGTGTGTGTGTGTGTATATATACATTACAGTTCAAAAGTTTGGGGTTACTTAGAAATGTCCTTGTTTTTGAAAGAAAAGCCATTTTTCTGTCCATTAAAATAACATAACATTGATCAGAAATACAGTGTAGACAGCTGGAAACGTCTGATTTTTAATGGGATATCTACATAGGCGTACAGAGGCCCATTATCAGCAACCATCAGTCCGGTGTTCCAATGGCACGTTGTGTTTGCAAATCCAAGTTTATAATTTTAAAAGGCTAATTGATCATTAGAAAACCCTTTTGCAATAATGTTAGCACAGCTGAAAACTGTTGTGCTGATTTAAAGAAGCAATAAAACTGGCCTTCTTGAGACTGGTTGAGTATCTGGAGCATCAGCAATTGTGGGTTTGATTACAGGCTCAAAATGGCCAGAAACAAATAACTTTCTTCTGAAACTCGTCAGTCTATTCTTGTTCTGAGAAATGAAGGCTATTCCATGCGAGAAATTGCCAAGAAACTGAAGATCTCGTACAACGCTGTGTACTACTCCCTTCACAGAATAGCGCAAACTGGCTCTAACCAGAATAGAAAGAGGAGTGGGAGGCCCCGGTGCACAACTGAGCAAGAGGACAAATACATTAGTGTCTAGTTTGAGAAAGAGGCGCCTCACAGGTCCTCGACTGGCAGCTTCATTAAATAGTACCCGCAAAACACCAGTCTCAACGTCAACAGTGAAGAGGCGACTCCGAGATGCTGACCTTCTAGGCAGAGTTGCAAAGAAAAAGCCATATCTCAGACTGGCCAATAAAAAGAAACGATTAAGATGGTTAGTCTGAGATATACACAGTACCAGTCAAAGGTTTGGACACACCTACTCATTTTTCTTTATTTTTACTATTTTCTACATTGTAGAATAATAGTGAAGACATCAAAACTATGAAATAACACATATGGAATCATGTAATATCCAAAGAAGTGTTAAACAATATTTGAGATTCTTCAAACAGCCACCCTTTGCCACACTCGGCATATCCCTCAACCAGCTTCATGAGGTAGTCACCTTGAATGCATTTCAATTAACAGGTGTGCCTTCTTAAAAGTTGTGGAATTTATTTCCTCCTTAATGTGTTTGAGCCAATCAGTTGTGTTGTGACATGGTGGGGGGGAATGCCAATAGTGTGCAAAGCTGTCACGAAAATATATTTTGATTTGTTTAACACTTTATTGGTTACTACATGATTCCATACGTGTTATTTCATAGTTTGGATGTCTTCACTATTATTCTACATTGTAGAAAATAGTAAAAATAAAGAAAAACCCTTGAATGAGTAGGTGTGTCCAAACCTTTGACTGGTAATGTAGGTTTTAACGACCTCCGCTTTAGGCGATCTGAGAAACTTAGGGAGGACTATACCAAATGTTTTGGAGAGAGAGAATAATTTTCTCTGTCCCCCTCCCGTGCTATTGAAGGGGTTTGGAACGTTTCAGCCGACTCGTTGACCTGAACGAGTATCTGATGAAACTTTGCAACGACAGGAATGTCTCCTTTTGTGACAACTTTGATTTGCTGTGGGAGCAAAAAGCACTTTTTAAAAGAGACTGGATTCACCCCAACCACCGGGGTTCCAGGATTATTTCCAGCAACATTGTGAACTGTTTTAGAGACTGATGGACAGGGTCTGGTAGTTCTCCAGTCCTCGCTATCAGAATAAGCAACAGGGGACTTGGTAAGCATATCAACTCCTATAGGAATGGCACTATGGTTATTGTGAGTAACCTAGTTGATGTTTCGCTGTCTGCGCCTTCTAGTGAGTTTATACAAACCGTCATCTCCTACCATTCTGATAGATTGGAGTCTGTCAGAAAACCTTGTTTTAACATTAAAAATGTGGTTGTTATTCCATTGGTTACCTCGAGGCTGGTGCCCCAGGGGCAGTGTGGCCCACACTCATTGAATATGGCGCTTTTAAATGTTAGGTTTTACTAGTGATGGCTCTTTCTCGTGAATGACTTAATTTCTGAGCGCAAAGTAGATTGCATGTTTCTCACTGAAACATGACTGTTTTCAGATTATATTGGCGCTCTTATTAAAGCCTCCTTTACTACAGCTTTTCATACTCTATCAGAAAAGGGAAAAGGGTGGGGGGACACCCTTTATTTTTACTAGTGCTCTCAACTGTAAGGACAATTCGTTTGGCGACTTGAGGTCTTTTGAGCATCATGCTATACTGTTTAAATGTCAGCCACCAGTGCTGGCTATAACCCTTTATAGGCCACCAAAGCACTGCCCCACTTTCTTTCCTGATTTCTCTGAACTATTGTCTATTGAGTGTCCTTGAGAACCATGATACAATCATTGTGTTGGCTGATTTTAATATTCATGATGACAGACTGACTCCAAGGCCATTGCATTTATGAGTCTTTTGAGCTATATGGACTTTATCCAACATGTTACTGGGCCCACCCATAAAAGTGGCCATACTCTGGACCTGGTTGTTACCAATGGGCTTTCTATTGACATATCCTCTATTGAGGATGTTGCTTTATTTAAATGTGCTGACTTTGCGGCAGATAACAAACAATAGGCTGGCTATCAGTTAAGCAAGACCTGATGAGAAGTTTATGTGCCCTAGCCTACCACGCAAAGGCATATGGATTTATATTTTCCCTGGTTGACACAGACATTCTCAGGAAAGTGATATCACAACTTAAGCCTTCTACTTGCCTTCTCGATCCTATCTCCACCACTTTCTTCAAAACAGTTCTTAATTGCATATCTGAAGAAATGCAAGCTATTGTTAATCCCTCCCTCTTCACAGGCACTTTCCCCACTGCACTAAAAATTGCTATGGTCAAACCTAAAGAAAAGCAATCTAGATTCTTCAGCTCTTAGCAATATCCGCCCAATCTCCAGCCTTAGTTAAAGTGGTAAATGATCTTAGAGCCAACACAGATGCCAAACAGCTCTCTGTCCTTGTACTCTTGGATTTAAGTGCTGCATTCGACACTGTTGACCCATGATGTCCTTCTGGTCAGACTGGAGAGGTGGGTTGGCCTCTCCAGTCCAGTTGTGAATTTGTTTAGGACCTATTTAACCGGTCGAGAGTTTCGTCACCGTTTGTGGACATAACTCAGTGAAAATTGATATCACGTGGCGTTCCACAAGGTTCGATTTTGGGTCTGTTACTGTTCAGTTTATATCTGTTACCCCTTGGCAGCGTTATCAGAAAGCACAGCATTAATTGTCACTGCTACACAGGCGAAACACAACTTTACATTTCTGTGTCACCAGAGGATTTTAGCTCCACAAATAAATTGTTAGACTGTATTGGTGATTTAAATACTTTGATGGCTCACAACTTCCTCCAGCTAAATCAAGACAAGACTGAGGTACTTATTATTGGAGCCAAAGCACAGAGAGAGAATCTGGCCTCACACTGGCAATAAAGATAGAACACCAAGTAAAAAACCTAGGTGTAATTTTAGATTCTGAACTCAATTTTGAATCACACATTAGGAATGTAACCAAAATAGTTATTTACCACCTGAGGAACATTGCCAAGGTGCAGCCATTTCTCTCTCAGACTGATACAGAGAGACTCATCCATGCTTTTATTACAAGCAGGCTTGACTACTGTAATCCTCTCCTGTCTGGTCTACCCAAGAAAGCTTTTGATCAACTGCAAAACATACAGAATGCTGCAGCACGGGTACTGACCAAGACCAGACGGAGAGCACACATTCCACCAGTTTTAAGGTCTCTGCACTGGCTGCCTGTAATTGTTATAATTAATTTAAAAATTATTTTATAATCGTTTTAATCAATCCACAATTGTGCACCCCAATACATAATATAATATCAGACATGCTTTTTAGCTATGTACCCAGTAGGTCCCTCAAGTCCTCTGGCACTGGCCTTTTCCCAAAGCCTAGGGCCAAGAGGCATGGAGAGGCAGCCTTTAGTTACTATGCCACCAGCCTGTGGAATAGCCTGCCAGAGAACCTGAGGGGGGATGAAACTCTGGACATATTTAAAAGGGATCTTAAAACACACCTTTTTAGCTTTACTTTTCCTTTTTAGTCTTTGTTTTTATTGTTATTATATATATATTTTTTCCCTCTGTTAAATATTTCCGTTTTTTTAATTTGAATTTTTATTAGTTTTTTTTCCTGTGAAGCACATTGTGTTGCATCCATGTCTCAGTGCCTTCGGAAAGTATTCAGACCTGTTGACTTTTTCCACATGTTGTTACGTTACAGCCTTATTCTAAAATGGATTAAATAAAAAATTTCCCTCAGCAATCTACACACAATACCCCATAATGACAAAGCGAAAACAGTTTTTTAGAAATGTTTGCAAATGTATAAAAAATTATAAACAGAAATCCCTTATGTACATAAGTATTCAGACCCTTTGCTATGAGACTTGAAATTGAGCTCAGGTGCATCCTGTTTCCATTAATCATCCTTGAGATGTTTCTCAACTTGATTGGAGTCCACCTGTGGTAAATTCAATTGATTTGACATGATTTGGAAAGGCACACACCTGTCTACATAAGGTCCCACAGTTGACAGTGCATCTCAGAGCAAAAACCAAGCCATGAGGTCAAAGGAATTGTCTGTAGAGCTCCGAGACAGGATTGTGTCGAGGCACAGATCTGGGGAAGGGTACCAAAACATTTCTGCACCATTGAAGGTCCCCAAGAACACAGTGGCCTCCATAATTCTTAAATGGAAGAAGTTTGGAACCACCAAGGCTCTTCCTAGAGCTGGCTTCCCTTATTTTTGCTTTGTCGTTATGGGGTGTTGTGTGTAGATTGAGGACAAAAAACAATTTAATACATTTTTGAATAAGGCTGTAACGTAACAAAATGTGAAAAAAGTCAAGGGGTCTGAATACTTTCCGAAGGCACTGTAAACAAAGCTTGATTTGATGATGGGATGTTAATTGCTTAATTAACTCTGGAACAACACCTGTGTGGAACCACCTGCTTTCAATATACTATATATCCCTCATTTACTCAAGTTTATCTTGATTTTGGCAGTTGCTTGTAGATGCATACTATTTAATTGTGTTTCATACCCTCAACACTTTTAAAAATCTACCCGTAGTCTTTGAAGGACAGCAAAGAGGTGGAAATCATTGACACGAAGATCCGTCGGAAGGTGGAGCCGGAGAAGTGGCCTCTTCCTGGCCTGTCCATGGGACCGGACCACAACCAGGTGGACCTGACCCAGCTCATCCACTGCCCCGAGTTCGTGCCCCGGCAGATGCCAACTGAGCAGACCGGTATAGTACCTATACGCCTTAGCCAGCCACACACTATACAACTGATTGGGACTTAGCTATGCATATTCACTATCAAAACGGGTGGCTATACATTCAACCATCTATTTCACCTCTCACTATCAAAACAGGTACAGTGTCGTGAAAAGTGTTTGCCCCCTTTCTGATTTTCTCTATTTTTGCATATTTCTGACACTGAATGTTATCAGATCTTCAACCAGAACCTAATATTAAATAAAGGGAACCCGAGTGAGCAAATAACACAAAATGTTGATACTTATTTCATTTATTTATAGTGCCTTTAGAAAGCATTCATACCCCTTGAGTTATTCCACATTTTGTTGTTACAGCTTGAATTCTAAAATGATTAAATACATTTTCTTTCTCACCCATCTAAACACAATACACCATAATGACAAAGTGAAAACATTGTTTTTAGAAATGTTTGCAAGTTTATTGTAAATGAAATACAGAAATATCTCATTCACATGTATTAACATCCCTGAGTCAATACATGTTAGACTCACCTTTGGCAGTGATTACAGCTGTGAGTCTTTCTGGGTAAGTCTCTAAGAGCTTTGCTAACCTGGACTGTACAATATTTGCACATGTATTATTTTTAAAGTTCTTCAAGACATTTTCAAGTCTTACCATAGATTTAAAAGTTGATTTAAGTCAAAACTGTAACTCGATAAGCAACTCCAGTGTATATTTGGCCTTCTGTTTTAGGTTATTGTCCTGCTGAAAGGTGACATTTGTCTCCCAGTGTCTGTTGGAAAGCAGACTAAACCAGGTTTTCCTCTAGGATTTTGCCTGTGCTTAGCTCTATTGCTTTTATTTCCCCCCCCAAAAAAACTCCCCAGTCATTTCCAATGGCAAGCATACCCATAACATGATGCAGGCACAACCATGCTTGAAAATATGAAGAGTGGTACTGAAGAGTGGATTTGCCCAAACATAACACTTTGTATTCAGGGCATAAAGTTTATTTATTTGCCACATTTATTGCAGTTCTACTTAAGTGCCTTATTACAAACAGGATGCATGTTTTGGAATATTTTTTTTCTGTACAGTCTTCCTTCTTTTCACTCTGTCATTTAGGTTAGTATTGTGGAGTAACTACAATGTTGCTGATCCATCCTTAGTTTTCTCCTATCACAGCCATTAAACTCTGTAACTGTTTTAAAGTCACCAATGACCTCATGGTGAAATCCCTGAGCGCTTTCCTTCCTCTCCGGCAAATGAGTTAGGAAGGATGCCTGTATCTTTGTAGTGACTTGGTGTATTGATACACCATTTAAAGTGTAATTAATAACTTCACCATGCTCAAAGGGATATTCAATGTCTGCTTTTTTTATTTGTACCCATCTACCAATAGGTGCACTTATTTGCGAGGCGTTTGAAATCTCCCTGGTCTTTGTGGTTGAATCTGTGTTTGAAATTCACTGCTCGACTAAGGGACCTTACAGATAATTGTATGTGTGGGGTACAGAGATGAGGTAGTCATTCAAAAATCATGTTAAAACAATATTATTGCACACAGAGTCCATGCAACTTATGTGACTTGTTAAGCAAATATTTACTCCTGAACTTATTCAGGCTTGACATAAGAAAGGGGTTGAATACTTATTGACTCAAGACATTTCAGCTTTTCATTTTTCATTAATTTGTAAAAAAGTAAACAAAAAATAAACGGAATTCCACTTTCACATTATGGGGTATTGTGTGTAGGCCAGTGACACAAAATATACATTTTATCAATTTTACATTCAGGCTGGAACACAACAAAATGTGGAAAAAGAAAGTGAATACTTTCTGAAGGCACTGTAATTAACAAAGTTATGCAACACCCAATGCCCCTGTGTGAAAAAGTAATTACCCCCTTACACTCAATAACTGGTTGTGCCACCTTTAGCTGCAATGACTGCAACCAAATGCTTCCTGTAATTGATGATCAGTCTCTTAACATCCCACTCTTCCATGCAGAACTGTTTTAACTCAGCAACATTTGTGGGTTTTTGAGCATGAACTGCTCGTTTCAGGTTCTGCCACAACATCTCAATCGAGTTTAGGTCTAGACTTTGACATTGCAGAACTTTACATTTGTTGGTTTTCAGCCATTCACATGTAGACTTGCTTGTGTGTTTTGGATCATTGTCTTGCTGCATGACCCAGCTGTGCTTCAGCTCACGTACGAATTACCTGACATTCTCTGTTAAATCTCTCTGATACAGAACACAATTAATGGTTCCTTCAATTATGGCAAGTCGCCCAGGTCCTGAGGCAGCAAAGCATCCCCAGTCCATCACACTACCACCACCAAGCTTGACCATTGGTATGAGGTTCTTACTGTGGAATGCAGTGTTTGGTTTTTGCCAGACATAATGGGACATAAAGTTGTATTAAGTTTGCCAAAAAGCACATGGATGATCGACAAGACTCCTGGAAGAATGTTCTATGGACAGATTAGTCCAAATTTGAACTTTTTGGACGGTCAGGAGACTGAAAAGATTAGGTATGGACTCTCTCAGATCCTCAAAGTTCTTCACCATTGAGAGCGTCTTGACTGGCTGCATCACCGCTTGGTACGGCAACTGCAAGGCACCCGACAACAAGGCGCTTACAGAGGGTGGTGAGTATGTTCCAGTACATCACTGGGGCCCAGCTTCCTGCCATCCAGGACATCTATACCAGGAGGTGTCTGAGGAAGGCCCCAAAAATTGTCGAAGACACCAGCCACCTTAGTCATAGACTGTTCTCTCTGCTACCGCACGGCAAGCGGTACCAGTGCACCAAGTCTGGAACTAACAGGACCCTGAACAGCTTCTACTCTCAAGCTGTAAGACTGCCTTAACAAGGCTGATAAATAGCTAATCAAATTGATACCCGGACTACCTGCATCACCCTTTCTTGAACTAACTCTCTCTTGCACTGACTCTATCCACATTCACTGGACTCTACCCACACACATATACTTACACTGACACCCCAACACACACACACACTATATATATATATATACAAAAGTATGTGGACACCCCTTCAAATTAGTGTATTCTGCATTTCAGCCACACCTGTTGCTGACAGGTGTATAAAATCGAAGACACAGCCATGCAATCTCCATAGACAAACATTGGCTGTAGAATGGCCTCTCTGAAGACCTCAGTGACTTTCAAGGTGGCACTGTCATAGGATGCCACCTTTCCAACAAGTCAGTTTGAGAAAATGTCTGCCTTGCTAGAGCTGCCAAGATCAACTGTAAGTGCTGTTATTGTGAAGTGGAAACATCTAGGAGCAACAACGGAGCGCCTGGAAGTGGTAGGCCACACAAGCTCACAGAATGGGACCGCCGAGTGCTGAAGTGCGTAGTGCTGTTGCAGCTGTCCTCTGCTGCAACACTCACTACCGAGTTCCAAACTGCCTCTGGAAGCAACGTCAGCACAATAACTGTTCATCGGAAGCTTCATGAAATGGGTTTCCATGGCCGAGCAGCCGCACACAAGCCTAAGATCACCATGCGCAATGCCAAGTGTCGGCTGGAGTGGTGTAAAGCTTGCCGCCATTGGACTCTGGAGCAGTGGAAACGCGTTCTCTGGAGTGGTGAATCACGCTTCACCATCTGGCAGTCTGACGAACAAATCTTGGTTTGGCGGATGCCAGGAGAACGCTACCTGCCTGAATGCATAGTGCCAACTGTAAAGTTTGGTGGAGGAGTAATGGGTCTGGGGCTGTTTTTCATGGTTTCGGCTAGGCCCCTTAGTTCCAGTGAAGGGAAATCTTAACGATATAGCATACAGTGTGTTCGGAAAGTATTCAGACCCCTTGACTTTTTCCAAATTGTTACGTTACAGCCTTATTCTAAAATTGATGAGAAAAATATATATTTTAATCACACAATACACCATAATGACAAAGCTAAAACCGTTTTTTTGTAGAAGGTTTTGCAAATGTATTAAAAATACAAAACGGATACTTGATTTACGTAAGTATTCAGACCCTTTGCTATGAGACTCGAAATTGAGCTCAGGTGCATCCTATTTCCATTGATCGTCCTTGAGATGTTTCTACAACATGATTGGAGTCCACCTGTGGTAAATTCAATTGATTGGACATGATTTGGAAAGGCACACACCTGTCTATATAAGGGCCCACAATTGACAAGAGCAAAAACCAAGCCATGAGGTCAAAGGAATTGTCCGTAGAGCTCCGAGACAGGATTGTGGTGAGGCACAGATCTGGGGAAGGGTATCAAGAATTGTCTGCAGCATTGAAGGTCCCCAAGACCAGTGGCCTCCATCATTCTTAAATGGAAGCAGTTTGGAAACACCAAGACTCTTCTTAGAGCTGGCCGCCCGGCCTAACTGAGCAATCGGGGAAGAGTGGCCTTGGTCAGGGAGGTGACCAAGAACCTGATGGTCACTCTGACAGCTCCAGAGTTCCTCTGTAGAGATGGGAGAACCTTCCAGAAGGACAACCATCTCTGCAGCACTCCACCAATCAGGCCTTTATGGGAGAGTGGCCAGACGGAAGCCACTCCTCAGTAAAAGGCCATGACAGCCCAGCACCTAAAGGACTCTCAGACCATGAGAAACAAGATTCTCTGGTCTGATGAAACCAAGATTGAACTCTTTGGCCTGAATGCCAAGCGTCACGTCTGGAGGAAACCTGGCACCATCCCTACGGTGAAGCATGGTAGTGGCAGCATCATTCTGTTGGGATGTTTTTCAGCGGCAGGGACTAGGAGACTAGTTGGGATTGAGGGAAAGATGAACAGAGGAGAGTACAGAGAGATCCTTGATGGAAATGCTCCAGAGCCTCAGGACCTCAGACTGGGGTGACGGTTCACCTTCCAACAGGACAACAACCCTAAGCACACAGCCAAGACAACGTAGGAGTGGCTTCGGGACAAGTCTCTGAATGTCCTTGAGTGGCCCAGCCAGAGCCTGGACTTGAACCAGATTTAAACATCTCTGGATAGACCTGAAAATAGCTGTGCAGCGATGCTCCCCATCCAACCTGACAGAGCTTGAGACAAATACAGGTGTGCCAAGCTTGTAGCGTCATACCCAAGAAGACTAATGTAATCGCTGCCAAAGGTGCTTCAACAAAGTACTGAGTAAAGGGTCTGAATACTTATGTAAATGTCATATTTCAGTTTTTTTATTTGTTATACATTTGCAAGAAAATCTACACCTGTTTTTACTTTGTCATTATGGGGTGTTGTGTGTAGATTGATGAGGGGAAAACATTATTTAATTAATTTTAGAAAAAGGCTGTAACGTAACAAAATGTGGAAAAAGTGAATGGGTCAGAATACTTTCCGAAGGCACTGTAGCTACCTCAAATCAAATTTTATTGGTCACATACACATATTTAGCTAAAGTTATTGCGGGTGTAGCGAAATGCTTACCTCGTACCCCTGCACATCGCTTTGTTACTGTATATAGCCATGTTATTGTTATTCGTTATTCAATGAATAAGGCTTGATTTCAATGGTAGAAAAATCCCTGGTTTGGTTGCAGTCATTGCAGCTAAAGGTGGCACAACCAGTTGAGTGTAAGGGGGCAATTACTTTTTCACACAGGGGCATTGGGTGTTGCATAACTTTGTTTATGAAAGAAATGATAGCAGTATCAATCAGAGTAGGCTAGTGGGAGGAGCTATATAAATGGAATGGTACCTAACACATGGAAACAGTGTGTTTGACTCTGTTCCATTGATTCCATTCCATCCATTACATTGAGTCCATCCTCCTATAGCTCCTCCCACCAGCGTCCACTGCTATCAACATGTTGTGTTATTCGTTCACTCAGTCACTCTCTACGTGCTAGTTTCTCACTATCCACTTTCAGCATCACAACACTCAGGTGAAGGCTAAATGCCTCCATACGTTGGCTCAGTTGGAGCAGAGCCCAGACACCTGTGTTCCCTAAGGACAGCGGTATACAGTATAATACCGTGAGATGTAAAACCGTTGGATAAAAGGGCTTATTTCTTACTGCTCCTCTGTGAGGACACTGATTCAGTCAAGTGCTCTCCTGCTGTGTGTCTAATAGACAATGATTAGAAAACACTGATTCATTAATCAGGTAGGACTGGTAGGTAGGTCATGGGTATGAGAGGTAGCAGTGTCTGCGTCCCAAGCAGCACACTATAAATGGAATAGGGTGCTAACTAAGTCCATCAGGTAGTTCAAGGGGATTGAAAGGTAGCTGAAATAGAGTGAGCTTACTCTCACTAGTCCACTCTGTAGGCTTGTCTAGTCTAGTGTTCACCTATAGTCAATCTAATCGACAGAGTCTGCTCCAGGGTCTCCCCGGTCCTCCACGCCCACCGGGGGAATGACCAGGGCCTCCATGCAGCCCAAGATGGAGCAGGACGTGTCCAACCTGAAGAGTATGCCGAAGGGACTGTCGGCCAGCCTGCCCGACCTGGACTATGAGTCCTGGATCGAGGTGAAGAAGAGACCCAGGCCCTCCCCGGCCAGACCCAAGGTGAGTGGAGCTGAATAGATCTGACCTGATTGTCTATTGGCCTTCCTCTACCGTTATCCAGTCACTCTGTGGCCAGTTGAGTTGTCTGGCATTGAAAGAGTATACAGCATAATGGCTCTCACCTCTCTCATCCAAGACCATTATCCTACATGAGGCTTGTGATAGCTGTAAAAAAAAAAAAAAAAAGATATCTCTATAACAAATATTGAATGTCGGTTCTATTTGATTAGGACTCTATAAAATCTGATTTTTTTCCCCCTAAATTAAATTTTCTCCGTTTTGTTTTTCCAGGTTTCAGATTTTTACTTTTTGTAATAAGTTCAATACTTCAATATTGTTGAATTCCATTTTAATGTCCGTGATTCCATCCACGTTCTCCGCATCGCAGATTTTATAGGGTCCTACATGATGTATTCCTATTTGAGTGTTCTGTCTCGTCGCATTCTGAATAAGCCCCTGAAGTTAGTCTTGGAGATCCCGTTTGCCGGTTTTTATTTCAGCATTCACTTTCAGTCAATGAATGAATGCTATGGATATACGCGCAATTGAGCATTGTCATGCTTGCAACAAAACCCAATGCTTGTAACATGATGGTTGCAACAAATACCTGCTTACGAAGGCTTCTTTCAGGATCAACTTACTTACAATTTATGACCTAATGTAGCATTTCAAATGGCACCATATTCCTTATTTAGGGCACTACTTTGGACCAAAGCGCTTGTTAAAAGTAGGGCACTACATAGGGAATAGGTTGCCATTTGGGGTATGTTCAATATGTTAGTGTGCATCGCCAGTCCATTTCCCCTGCCTGTGGTGTTATCTAGTCATCTCGCACCCTCGTCATGGTGACCCTGCCTGTATACAGTATGACTGCCTGCCTGCTCCATACCTCTACATTGCCCTTTCTCTACTTCCTTGTCTCCCTCTTCACTTTGGCATCCGTCCATCCCTCCACGCCTCCTCCCCTGGGCGTTAACTGATGGTAGACCCCTTCGTTGCAGCAGAAGGAAGATGCTCGCTCTCCTGTGCCCCAGGCTGGCCTCAGCCTGGTCTCCTCCACCTCCTCAGCCCAGGCCATGACAGCCAAGGAGGAGCAGGACGAGCCCGAGGAGCTGGACTTCATGTTCGACGAGGAGATGGAGCAGATGGACGGCCGCAGGAACACATTTACCGACTGGTCCGACTCGGACTCGGACTGCGAGATCGCCGACAACGACGTCAACAAGATCCTCATTGTGACACAGACGCCGCCCTACCTGCGCAAGCACCCAGGGGGCGACCGAACGGGCCACCACACGTCACGCTCCAAGCTGACCAACGAGCTGGTGAAGGTGATCAACGACGGCCTGTACTACTACGAAGCGGACCTGAGGGATGACAACTACGAACCCGAGTACGCCACCATCAAGGTCAGTCCCTTTTACTTTGACTTCAACTCTGTAGTCAGGTAGCAAGCACTCTTATCTAGAATAGGTGCATTAATTTAAGGACTGTAAAGATGGATATCAGAATGTTCCATAGGGAGTAACTAAGTATTTGGGAACAGCCTAAGTAATTCCAGATTTTCCAGTTAAATGAGGCATGTGCCTAGTTTCCATCAGGCCCGGAAACCATTTAAAGAAAATACACTCTGTTGTGCAAGTCACCATTCGGAGATAAAGAAAAACAACAACAAATAGACAATAATAAACAAAACCATTATGAACAACCGCGTATCACTGATATACCTTAAGTGGGCTATTCTGACAAGTTCCGGGTGTCCATTCTGGCTGCAGTGTGTGTGTGTGCGTGTTGTCCCCGCTCCCATTGTGGCAGGGCTCTTTGTGCCGTTCACATGCCCCCCATCCAGTGGTGTGGGGGGGGGGGGGACACTGTCTTGCTTATGAATAAACCCTACATGGCCTGCCTCTGCCTAGCAAAGGGCTCTGTGGAGTGGGTTTCAGGGGGGAAAATGGCTTTTCAGATGTCTTCAGCGATTACTTGGTCAGAGATGGCCAGCGTTTCAAATGTAAGTCTTGTTTCCTAGGTTGCATCCAAAGTGGAACCCTATTTCCTATTTAGTGCACTACTTTTCACCAGAACTCTATGGGCCCTGTTCAAAACTAGTGCACTATAATAGGATGTCATTTGGGACAAAAGCTCAGTGTATGCAAGTCAAGTTCTAGTTTAGTTCCTATAATTTTGTTGCTATTTTTATACCACTTTTGTCTTTCAGTAAAGTTGAGGGTTCTGTGTTGTGTTTGGAGGTTGTTACTGTTGACAAAGCCTCAGTTTGAAATGGACTGGAATTAAATTATAGTTTGATGAAGGCTCTAAGTTAATATAGCCTATTAGTATTATTGGCCACCATGCCATGTTGGTGTGTGTCCAACCGTCGCCAAACCTTTGAAGAAGGTACAGTTGAAGTCGGAAGTTTACATACACTTAGGTTGGAGTCATTAAAACTTGTTTTCAACCACTCCACAAATTTCTTGTTAACAAACTATAGTTTTGGCAAGTCGGTTAGGACATCTACTTTGTGCATGACACAAGTAATTTTTCCAACAATTGTTTACAGACAGATTATTTCACTTATAATTCACTGTATCACATTTCCAGTGGGTCAGAAGTTTACATACACTAAGTTGACTGTGCCTTTAAACCGCTTGGAAAATTCCAGAAAATGATGTCATGGCTTTAGAAGCTTCTGATAGGCTAATTGACATAATTTGAGTCAATTGGAGGTGTACCTGTGGATGTATTTCAAGGCCTACCTTCAAACCCAGTGCCTCTTTGCTTGACATCATGGGAAAATCAAAAGAAATCAGCTAAGACCTCAGAAAACAAATTGTAGACCTCCACAAGCCTGGTTCATCCTTGGGAGCAATTTCCAAACGCCTGAAGGTACCACGTTCATCTGTACAAACAATAGTACGCAAGTATAAACACCATGGGACCACGCAGCCATCATACCGCTCAGGAAGGACACGCGTTCTGTCTCCTAGAAATGAACGTCCTTTGGTGCGAAAAGTGCTAATCAATCCCAGAACAACAGCAAAGGACCTTGTGAAGATGCTGGAGGAAACGGGTACAAAAATATCTATATCCACAATAAAACGAGTCCTATATCGACATAACCTGAAAGGCCGCTCAGCAAGGAAGAAGCCACTGCTCCAAAACCGCCATAAGAAAGCCAGACTACGGGTTGCAACTGCACATGGGGACAAAGATTGTACTTTTTGGAGAAATGTCCTCTGGTCTGATGAAACAAAAATAGAACTGTTTGGCCATAATGACCATCGTTATGTTTGGAGGAAAAAGGGGGCTGCTTGCAAGCCGAAGAACACCATCCCAACTGTGAAGCACGGGGGTGGCAGCATCATGCTGTGGGGGTGCTTTGCTGCAGGAGGGTCAGGTGCACTTCACAAAATAGATGGCATCATGAGGAAGGAAAATTATGTGGATATTTTGAAGCAACATCTCAAGACATCAGTCAGGAAGTTAAAGCTTAGTTGCAAATGCTTCTTCCAAATGGACAATGACCCCAAGCATACTTCCAAATTGTGGCAAAATGGCTTAAGGACAACAAAGTCAAGGTATTGGAGTGGCCATCACAAAGCCCTGACCTCAATCCTATAGAAAATCTGTGGGCAGAACTGAAGAAGCGTGTGCGAGCAAGGAGTCCTACAAACCTGACTCAGTTACACCAGCTCTTTCAGGAGGAATGGGACAAAATTCACCCAACTTATTGTGGGAAGCTTGTGGAAGGCTACCTGAAACGTTTGATCCAAGTTAAACAATTTAAAGGCAATGCTACCAAATATTAATTAATATAATAATAATAATAATATGCCATTTAGCAGACGCTTTTATCCAAAGCGACTTACAGTCATGAGTGTATGTAAACTTCTGACCCACTGGGAATGTGATTAAAGAAATAAAAGCTGAAATAAATTATTCTCTCTACTATTATTCTGACATTTCACATTCTTAAAATAAAGTGGTGATCCTAACTGACCTAAGACAGGGAATTTTTACTAGGAGGTCAGGAATTGTGAATTAAATGTATTTGGCTAAGGTGTATGTAAACTTCCGACTTCAACTGTACATTATGCTACATAGATCATTTTTGATTACAGCCGATTTCCTATTTCCCCCAACTTTTGTTTGACTCTTGAAGAAGAAAAAACAGTTTTTTTGACATGCAATGAGGTAGTGTAAATGATCACATGATCAAATATTTTGCTTTTTGAATATTCATCACCTAGTCTGATATTGATATTGGGAGGATTTATCGGACACAGATAAAGGCTAGTCCTGGACTAAGTAGAGGTCTCTGGATCTGAACGGACCCGAGGACAATCGGACCCAACCCAATCATAAAAAATAAAATGCCGACTGAACGGGCCAGAGAATAATCAGACCCGAACCCAAATGGACCCGAAGACAACTCAACCTAGACCTGACCCGTACCCTAACGGATCCGGGTCTAGATTGGGCCATCTATAAGTCAATAAATACACCTTATTAGCGTAAAATAAATATGCTATAGGCTATGCAGAGCCATGGTCAGGTCCATTCGGGTCCACCCAGGTCTATCAGCTGTAGTTACATAGACCCGGTGACAATCAAACAGGACCTGGTCTCGAGGGACAAGTTAGAATTTCAGACCCAATCGGGCCCGGGTTGGGTCTTGGGTATATCGGGTCAACCCGGACCCGTGAAGACCTCTACTAAGAAGCACTTTCAATGGAGAATCTCCATTGAACATACTTTTTATTCTAGGACTAGACTTAATCTACCTCCCTGAAACGAACCAGCCTATTGAGTTTGACCACCACTGTCTCACTGAGCCTCCCTGTCATGTGATTGTCTCTGCAGCAAGAGGTGGAAAACTTCAAGAAGGTTCACCTGATCAGCCGAGAGGAGTTTGACTGCCTGACCCCAGAAACCCCCGTCGACCCCAACCAGGAGGTGCCCCCTGGACCCCCAAAGCCCCAGCAGAGTGAGTACCACAGACACGGACAAGACGTGCACACACACCTACACGGACGAGACGCAGACCTCTCACTAAGACGGGGGTCACACAGCTATGGCTTAATCAAGTGCGAAGCACAACCACTCTACTGAACCAACATTGGGAAATAACACCAGATATAGAGAGCAGAATAATTCATTGGAATAAGTTGGAAGTGTCTCCAAGTGGGAATGGTTCTATGGCTTTACAACACACACCGACAAGCTATAGGAATACCTCCACATAGGACACTGATCTTATTCATGTGCATATTGAAATTGAAGCTGTGATACAGAAATGACCCATATGAACATCTGTGTTCCAGAGATCACTCGTGACTCTCATCTCTCAGTTCCCGTAGACGCCTTGGCGAACAAACTTTTCGGTGCCCCTGAACCTTCCACAATAGCACGCTCCCTCCCGACTACTGTGCCTGACTCGCCCAACTACCGCAGTGCCCGGACACCCCGCACGCCTCGCACCCCGCACCGGAAGGACCCCGCCATGACGCCCCGCTTCTACCCCGTTGTGAAGGAGAGCTGGCCCGTTGACGCCAAGGTAAGAACAGTTAGTTTCTGCCATTTTGCTTAGACTCGCCCAGATCCTGTAGATCTACCAGGGTACAGTTGTCTATTGGTTATTGATTTTGACATATCCAACATCTGTGAGGCGGCACACTGATCCTCTGTTTATGCTAATACGTTACATCTGTGAGGCGGCACACTGCTCCTCTGTTTATGCTAATACGTTACATCTGTGAGGCAGCACACTGCTCCTCTGTTTATGCTAATACGTTACATCTGTGAGGCGGCACACTGCTCCTCTGTTTATGCTAATACGTTACATCTGTGAGGCAGCACACTGCTCCTCTGTTTATGCTAATACGTTACATCTGTGAGGCGGCACACTGCTCCTCTGTTTATGCTAATACGTTACATCTGTGAGGCGGCACACTGCTCCTCTGTTTATGCTAATACGTTACATCTGTGAGGCGGCACACTGCTCCTCTGTTTATGCTAATACGTTACATCTGTGAGGCGGCACACTGCTCCTCTGTTTATGCTAATACGTTACATCTGTGAGGCGGCACACTGCTCCTCTGTTTATGCTAATACGTTACATCTGTGAGGCGGCACACTGCTCCTCTGTTTATGCTAATACGTTACATCTGTGAGGCGGCACACTGCTCCTCTGTTTATGCTAATACGTTACATCTGTGAGGCGGCACACTGCTCCTCTGTTTATGCTAATACGTTACATCTGTGAGGCGGCACACTGCTCCTCTGTTTATGCTAATACATTACATCTGAAACTGCCGACTAGGGATGGATTAGGGTCTGGGACTGCTGTGGTTCTCTGCTGTGGGTACTGTGTGGTTAACTGTACTCTCTCTATCCCCCTCCCTCTCCAGACCCCCAGGAAAAGGAAGACCAGGCACAGCTCCAACCCCCCCATGGAGTGCCACGTTGGCTGGGTGATGGACTCGCGAGAGCACCGATCTCGCACTGCCTCCGTCAGGTGAGACAAGTCCACTCTCATCTCCTGTGGTATTGCTAACGTGTACACTTTAATTGTTCATTCTACTACATTTTTACATTTTTACATTTTAGTCATTTAGCAGACGCTCTTATCCAGAGCGACTTACAGTTATCACATACATTATTTTATCGAACCCACAACCCTGGCGTTGCAAACGCCATGCTCTACCAACTGAGCTACATCCCCTGCCGGCCATTCCCTCCCCTACCCTGGACGACGCTGGGCCAATTGTGCGCCACCCCATGGGTCTCCCGGTCGCGGCCGGCTACGACAGAGCCTGGATTCGAACCAGGATCTCTAGTGGCACAGCTAGCACTGCGATGCAGTGCCTTAGACCACTGCGCCACTCGGGAGAGACAAAAGGCTAGCTACAAAAGGCTTTTTGTTATATCTTCTTTAGAACATTTCACCGCAATAAATATTGTTGAAGTCATACTGAATTGTTTATCATTTACACATTGGTAAATGTACTTACCAATGCTGTACTTATACCAGCGTTTCCCAGACTCGGTCCTGATGACCCCAAGGGGTGCACATTTTAGTTTTTTTCCCCTAGCGCTACACAGCTGATTCAAATAATCACAGCCCAGTGATGAGTTGATTATTTGAATCTGCTGTGTAGTGCTAGGGCAAAAACCAAAATGTGCACCCCTTGGGGTCCCCAAGACAGAGTTTGGAAAATGCTGACTTATACCCATTTCATACAGGTTTAATTTGTCGGTGGTGTTTGTATGTGCGTTTAAGCACTCCTCCTCTTCCCTCTCTCTCCAGCTCCAACGCAAGCCCCTCAGAGGGTACCCCTGCATTGGGTGGAATTGGCTGCACTCCCCAGTCGCTCCCCAAGTTCCAGCACCCCTCCCATGAGCTGCTCAAGGAGAACGGCTTCACGCAACACGTTTACCACAAGTACCGTCGACGCTGCCTAAACGGTACGCATAGCTACCCATATCTTTTTCCCTGAACAAAGAACACACACAGACTTAATCACTCATTCACACACTTACACAGTACAGCCATAGCACCTTTGCCATTTCAAAAATTTGCCCACACCATTTCATATACCTCTTCCATTGTTCACTATCTCCTATTCAAAGACTAGAAAGTTATGTCACACACGTGTCACATTATACTTGTGGATAAATAGTTAGAAACACTGCATATAGAAACAATAGCTGTTGCTTACTTTGTCACACAGGTTGCATCCCAAATGGTCAATGGCCTACATAGTGCACTACTTTTGATAATATAGGGAATAGGGTGGCATTTGGGACACAACCATGGTGTCTGACTGACCTTTCACCCCTCTACCCCACTAATCACAGAACGCAAGCGGTTGGGCATCGGCCAATCCCAGGAGATGAACACTCTGTTCCGTTTCTGGTCATTCTTCCTGAGGGATCACTTCAACAGGAAAATGTACGAGGAGTTCAGACAGCTGGTGGTGGAGGATGGGAAGGAGGGTTACAGGTAATGCTTGATTTCATTCTTTGTTTAATACTTACCCGCCTACCAATTATACACAGTACTTTGATTGTAAAGGGCCTACAGTTGAAGTCGGAATTTTACATACACCTTAGCCAAATACATTTAAACTCCGTTTTTCACAATTCCTGACATTCAATCCTAATAAAAATTCCCTGTCTTAGGCCAGTTAGGATCACCAGTTTATTTTAAGAATGTGAAATGTCAGAATAATAGTAGAGAGAATGATTTATTTCAGCTTTTATTTCTTTCATCACATTCCCAGTGGGTCAGAGGTTTACATACATGCAATTAGTATTTGGTAGCATTGCCTTTAAATTGTTTAACTTGGGTCAAACGTTTTGGGTAGCCTTCCACAAGCTTCCCACAATAAGTTGGGTGAATTTTGTCCCATTCCTCCTGACAGAGCTGGTGTAACTGAGTCAGGTTTGTAGGCCTCCTTGCTCGCACACGCTTTTTCAGTTCTGCCCACAGATTTTCTATAGGATTGAGGTCAGGGCTTTGTGATGGCCACTCCAATACCTTGACTTTGTTGTCCTTAAGCCATTTTGCCACAACTTTGGAAGAATGCTTGGGGTCATTGTCCATTTGGAAGACCCATTTGCGACCAAGCTTTAACTTCCTGACTGATGTCTTGAGATGTTGCTTCAATATATCCACATAATTTTCCTTCCTCATGGTGCCATCTATTTTGTGAAGTGCACCAGTCCCTCCTGCAGCAAAGCACCCCCACAGCATGATGCTGCCACCCCCGTGCTTCACGGTTGGGATGGTGTTCTTCGGCTTGCAAGCGTTCCCCTTTTTCCTCCAAACATAACGATGGTCATTATGGCCAAACAGTTCTATTTTTGTTTCATCAGACCAGAGGACATTTCTCCAAAAAGTACGATCTTTGTCCCCATATGCAGTTGCAAACCGTAGTCTGGCTTTTTTATGGCGGTTTTGGAGCAGTGGCTTCTTCCTTGCTGAGTGACCTTTCAGGTTATGTCGATATAGGACTCATTTTACTGTGGATATAGATACTTTAGTACCTGTTTCCTCCAGCATCTTCAGAAGGTCCTTTGTTGTTGTTCTGAGATTGATTTGCACTTTTCACACCAAAGTACGTTCATCTCTAGGAGACAGAACGCGTGTCCTTCCTGAGCGGTATGATGGCTGTGTGGTCCCATGGTGTTTATACTTGCGTACTATTGTTTGTACAGATGAACGTGGTACCTCAGGCGTTTGGAAATTGCTCCCAAGGATGAACCAGACTTGTGGAGGTCTACCATTTTTTTTCTGAGGTCTTGGCTGATTTCTTTTGATTTTCCCATGATGTCAAGCAGAGGCACTGAGTTTGAAGGTAGGCCTTGAAGTACATCCACAGGTATGCCTTCAATTGACTGAAATTATGTCAATTAGCCTATCAGAAGCTTCTAAAGCCATGACATCATTTTCTGAAATTTTCCAAGGCACAGTCAACTTAGTGTATGTAAACTTCTGACCCACTGGAAATGTGATACAGTGAATTATAAGTGAAATAATCTGTCTGTAAACAATTGTTGGAAATATAACTTGTGTCATGCACAAAGTAGATGTCCTAACCGACTTGCCAAAACTATAGTTTGTTAACAAGACATTTGTGGAGTGGTTGAAAAAACGAGTTTTAATGACTCCAACTTAAGTGATGTAAACTTCTGACTTCAACTGTAAAAATGCGTGTTGGGCAAGGAGAGTGCAATGTGTGAAGGCTCTTGACCCGTAAAAGTATTTGGGCCTAAAATTGTGTTTTGAAAGGGGAGGCAACAGGGGCGTCAATGTGTGCAGGCACTTGTTCCAGCCCTGCTCTAACACACACCTGATTCAATCAAGCACAGGCATTTTTCTGCCAATGAAATCCTCTTAAGTCTAAACAGTGTACAAAATTATTTTTCAGGATGAAAAAACACTTTCTGTGTAAGCTTAAACAACTAAAACCAGATATGAAGCATGTAGAAAAGATTACAAAAAAAATATAAACGCAACATGTAAAGTGTTGGGCCCATGTTTCATGAGCTGAAATAAAAGATCCCAGAAGTTTTCCACATGCACAAAAAGCTTATTTCTCTCAAATGTTGTGCATACATTTGTTTACATCCCTGTTAGTGAGCATTTCTCCTTTGCCAAGATAATCAATCCACCTGACAGGTGTGGCATATCAAGAAGATGATTAAACAGCATGATCATTACACAGGTGCACCTTGTGCTGGGAACAAAAGGCAACTCTAAAATGTGCAGCTTTGTCACACAACACAATGCCACATATGTCTCAAGTTTTGAGGGAGCGTGCAATTGGCAAGCTGACTGCAGGAATGGCCACCACAGCTGTTGCCAGAGTTTAATGTTAATTTATTAACATTAAATTCTCTACCATAAGCCAATGTTGTTTTAGAGAATTTGGCAGTATGTCATACCAGCCTCACAACCGAAGACCACGTGTAACCACACCAGGCCAGGACTTCCACAGCTGGCTTCTTCACCTCTCAGACCCATCACCTGGACAGCTGATCGAACTGTGGGTTTGCACAACCAAATAATTTCTGCACAAACTGTCAGAAACCGTCTCAGGGAAGCTCATCTGCGTGGTAGTCGTCCTCACCAGGGTCTTGACCTGACTGCAGTTCGGTGTCGTAATCGACTTCAGTGGGCAAATGCTCACCTTCGATGACCACTGGCACGCTGGAGAAGTGTGCTCTTCCCGGATGAATCCCGGTTTCAACTGTACCGGGCAGATGGCAGACAGTGTGTATGGCATTGTGTGGGCGAGGGGGTTTTCTTATGTCAACGTTGTGAACAGAGTGCCCCATGGTGATGGTGGGGTTATGGTATGGGCAGGATTAAGCTACAGACAACGAACACAACTACATTTTATTGATGGCAATTTGAATACACAGAGATACCGTGATGAGATCACCCATTGAGCATGTTTGGGATGCTCTGGATCGACGTGTACGACAGCGTGTTCCAGTTCCCGCCAATGTCCAGCGACTTCGCACAGCCATTGAAGAGGAGTGGGACAACATTCCACGGGCCACAATCAACAACCTGATCAACTCTGCTAAGGAGATGTGTCGCACTGCATGAGGCAAATGGAGGTCACACCGGATACTGACTGGTTTTCTGATCTATGCCCCTATCATTTTTTTAAGGTATCTGTGACCAACAGATGCATATCTGTATTCCCAGTCATGTGAAATCCATAGATTAGGGCCTAATTTATTTATTTCAATTGACTGATTTCCTCATATGAACTGTAACTCAGTCAAATCTTTGCATTTATATTTTTGTTCAGTGTATTTTTTAAATAATATAATCTTTGAGAACTAACAATTACCAAAATAAAAGCTAGACAGTCAGGGTGAATTGAAAATTCCAAAAACAATTAATTTAGCAGTATTGATTTTATTATGTTTGAGCAAAATAACACAGCATTAGCCATGGCAAAATGCATGGAATTGCAGGAAATTCGCTTTAAAACTGCAAACATTTCTTTCCGCTGCATGGAGAACTGTGTAGAAATGCAGGAAATTGGTTTAAAAATGCAATGATTTCTCTACACTGCCAAATTGTATTTGAAATTCAGCGGTGCCGACAGGCCGATCGCGTCCATTGCCACGCCCACCACCTAAGCCCCTTTTTGATCCAGATAAACCCTGCAAGCTTAGTCTTCAATTTAGACCACCATGTTGAATCAGCCATGTAACTGATGAGTTGGAACAAAAGCCTGCACTCATTGTGGCCTCCCGAGTACCACTACTACTGTTAGTAGTGGTACTAGTGTTAGTAGTGGTACTAGTGTTAGTAGTAGTGTTTAGTCTGCTCGACCACCACACACAGCTGATTAATACCTGTTGTCTGTATTGCAGGTACGGTTTGGAGTGCCTGTTCAGGTACTACAGCTACGGACTAGAGAGGAAATTCAGGCCAGACATATTCAAGGACTTCCAGGAGGAGACTATGAAAGACTACGAAGCTGGTGAGATGCATCACCTAGGAAACCTCAACCGTACACATTCACACTGCTCAATAACTCTCAATTTGGTTACTACTGTTCCTCCAAAATGAGTACGTTCTGTGTCCCAAATGGCACCAAATTCCCCATATAGTGCAGTACGTTTGACCGGAGCCTTATATAGGGAATAGGGTGCCGTTTGGGACGTAGCCTTAGACTTCCCCCTAACACCTGCCTGTCTCTGTGTCCCAATCTCCCACAGGCCAGCTGTATGGACTTGAGAAGTTTTGGGCATTTCTTAAATACTCCAAAAACAAGAACATGGGTATCGACCCTAAGCTGCAGGAGTGCCTGAGCAATTTTAAGCGTCTCGAGGATTTCAGAATCGATGTAAGTAGGGAAACCTGTCAAAGAATGTTGTGTAATTTTCTCTTCTACATTTTACTACTAGGGAAACCTGTTAAAGTACATGTTTAGACACCTTTACTACAACTTTTTCACTGCTAGCCACATGAGTGCTATCATTCTTCGCCAGGCTTTTGTAGGGTCAAAGTACTGAGCAAGTGGGTTTGTTAAACATTAAAGGGATCCCCGTTGTTGCATAGAGATGTATAGAGTTGGGGTGTAACGTTTAAATGAAATTGGGACCGTTAACATTTAGAAAAAATCCCTAACTGAATATATACACACACACACTACCGGTCAAAAGTTTTAGAACACCTACTCATTCAAGGGTTTTTCTTTATTTTTACTATTTTCTACATCAAAACTATGAAATAACATATATGGAATCATGTAGTAACCAAAAAAGTTTTAAACAAATAAAAAAATATTGTATATTTGAGATTCTTCAAAGTAGCCACCCTTTGCCTTGATGACAGCTTTGCACACACTTGGCACTCTTGCATTTCAATTAACAGGTGTGCCTTGTTAAAAGTTAATTTGTGGAATTTCTTTCCTTCTTAATGGGTTTGAGCCAATCAGTCGCAAGAACAGCTCAAATAAGCAAAGAGAAACGACAGCCCATCATTACTTTAAGACATGAAGGTCAGTCAATACGGAACATTTCAAGAACTTTGAAAGTTTCTTCAAGTGCAGTCGCAAAAACCATCAAGCGCTATGATGAAACTGGCTCTCATGAGGACCAGCCTCAGAAATTGCAGCCCAAATAAATGCTTTACAGAGTTCAAGTCACAGACACCTCAACATCAACTGTTCAGAGGGGACTGTGTGAATCAGGCCTTCATGGTCGAATTGCTCTAAAGAAACCACTATTAAAAGGATACCAATAAGAAGAAGAGACCTGCTTGTGCCAAGAAACACGAGCAATGGACATTAGACTGGTGGATGTCTGTCCTTTGGTCTGGAGTCCAAATTGGAGATGTTTGGTTCCAACCGCCATGTCTTTGTGAGACGCGGTGTGGGTAAACGGATGATTTCCGCATGTGTAGTTCCCCCCCCCACCCACCTTTTCCCAACACAACTGATTGGCTGAAACACATTAAGAAGGAAAGAAATTCCACAAATTAACTTTTAACAAGGCACACCTGTTAATTGAAATGCATTCCAGGTGACTACCTCATGAAGCTGGTTGAGAGAATTCCAAGAGTGTGCAAAGCTGTCAAGGCAAAGCGTGGCTATTTGAAGAATCTCAAATATAAAATATATTTTGATTTGATTAACACTAATTTGGTTACTACATGATTCCATATGTGTTATTTCATAGTTTTGATGTCTTCACTATTGTTCTACAATGTAAAAAATTATGAAAAACCCTTGAATAAGTAGGTGTGTCCAAACTTTTGACTTGTAGTGTACATACATAGAGTGGCTTGCGAAAGTATTCACCCCCCTTGGCATTTTTCCTATTTTGTTGCCTTACAACCTGGAAGGCAATACTTTGTAGAGACATCTTTTGCAGCAATTACAGCTGCAAGTCTCTTGGGGTATGTCTCTATAAGCTTGGCACATCTAGCCACTGGGATTTTTTCCCATTCTTCAAGGCAAAACTGCTCCAGCTCCTTCAAGTTGGATGGGTTCCGCTGGTGTACAGCAATCTTTAAGTCATACCACAGATTCTCAATTGGATTGAGGTCTGGGCTTTGACTAGGCAATTCCAAGACATTTACAGTGGGGGAAAAAAGTATTTAGTCAGCCACCAATTGTGCAAGTTCTCCCACTTAAAAAGATGAGAGAGGCCTGTAATTTTCATCATATGTACACGTCAACTATGACAGACAAAATGAGAAAAAAAATCCAGAAAATCACATTGTAGGATTTTTTATGAATTGATGTGCAAATTATGGGGGAAAATAAGTATTTGGTCAATAACAAAAGTTTCTCAATACTTTGTTATATACCCTTTGTTGGCAATGACACAGGTCAAACGTTTTCTGTAAGTCTTCACAAGGTTTTCACACACTGTTGCTGGTATTTTGGCCCATTCCTCCATGCATATCTCCTCTAGAGCAGTGATGTTTTGGGGCTGTCGCTGGGCAACACGGACTTTCAACTCCCTCCAAAGATTTTCTATGGGGTTGAGATCTGGAGACTGGCTAGGCCACTCCAGGACCTTGAAATGCTTCTTACGATGCCACTCCTTCGTTGCCCGGGCGGTGTGTTTGGGATCATTGTCATGCTGAAAGACCCAGCCACATTTCATCTTCAATGCTCTTGCTGATGGAAGGAGGTTTTCACTCAAAATCTCACGATACATGGCCCCATTCATTCTTTCCTTTACACGGATCAGTCGTCCTGGTCCCTTTGCAGAAAAACAGCCCCAAAGCATGATGTTTCCACCCCCATGCTTCACAGTAGGTATGGTGTTCTTTGGATGCAACTCAGCATTCTTTGTCCTCCAAACACGACGAGTTGAGTTTTTACCAGAAAGTTCTATTTTGGTTTCATCTGACCATATGACATTCTCCCAATCCTCTTCTGGATCATCCAAATGCACTCTAGCAAACTTCAGACGGGCCTGGACATGTACTGGCTTAAGCAGGGGGACACGTCTGGCACTGCAGGATTTGAGTCCCTGGCGGCGTAGTGTGTTACTGATGGTAGGCTTTGTTACTTTGGTCCCAGCTCTCTGCAGGTCATTCACTAGGTCCCCCATGTGGTTCTGGGATTTTTGCTCACCGTTCTTGTGATCATTTTGACCCCACGGGGTGAGATCTTGCGTGGAGCCCCAGATCGAGGGAGATTATCAGTGGTCTTGTATGTCTTCCATTTCCTAATAATTGCTCCCACAGTTGATTTCTTCAAACCAAGCTGCTTACCTATTGCAGATTCAGTCTTTCCAGCCTGGTGCAGGTCTACAATTTTGTTTCTGGTGTCCTTTGACAGCTCTTTGGTCTTGGCCATAGTGGAGTTTGGAGTGTGACTGTTTGAGGTTGTGGACAGGTGTCTTTTATACTGATAACAAGTTCAAACAGGTGCCATTAATACAGGTAACGAGTGGAGGACAGAGGAGCCTCTTAAAGAAGAAGTTACAGGTCTGTGAGAGCCAGAAATCTTGCTTGTTTGTAGGTGACCAAATACTTATTTTCCACCATAATTTGCAAATATATTCATTAAAAATCCTACAATGTGATTTTCTGGATTTTTTTTCTTCTCAATTTGTCTGTCATAGTTGACGTGTACCTATGATGAAAATTACAGGCCTCTCATCTTTTTAAGTGGGAGAACTTGCACAATTGGTGGCTGACTAAATACTTTTTTCCCCCACTGTAAATGTTTCCCCTTAAACCACTCAAGTGTTGCTTTAGCAGTATGCTTAGGGTCATTGTCCTGCTGGAAGGTGAACCTCCATCCCAGTCTCAAATCTCTGGAAGACTGAAACAGGTTTCCCTCAACAATTTCCCTGTATTTAGTGCCATCCATCATTCCTTCAATTCTAACCAGTTTCCCAGTCCCTGCTGATGAAAAACATCCCCACAGCATGATGCTGCCACCACCATGCTTCACTGTGGGGATGGTGTACTCGGGGTGATGAGAGGTGTTGGGTTTGCGCCAGACCTAGCGTTTTCCTTGATCGCCAAAAAGCTCAATTTTAGTCTCATCTGACCAGAGTACCTTCTTCCATATGTTTGGGGAGTCTCCCACATGCCTTTTGGCGAACACCAAACGTGTTTGCTTATTTTTTTCTTAAAGCAATGGCTTTTTTCTGGCAACTCTTCCGTAAAGTCCAGCTCTGTGGAGTGTATGGCTTAAAGTGGTCCTATGAGCAGATACTCCAATCTCCACTGTGGAGCTTTGCATCTCCTTCAGGGTTACCTTTGGTCTCTTTGTTGCCTCTCTGATTAATGCCCTCCTTAAACTGGTCCGTGAGTTTTGGTGGGCGGCCCTCTCTTGGCAGGTTTGTTGTGGTGCCATATTCTTTCCATTTTTTAATAATGGATTTAATGGTGCTCCGTGGGATGTCAAAGTTTCTGATATTTTTTCAGAACCCAACCCTGATCTGTACTTCTCCACAACTTTGTCCCTGACCTGTTTGGAGAGCTCCTTGGTCTTCATGGTACCGCTTGCTTGGTGGTGCCCCTTGCTTAGTGGTGTTGCAGACTCTGGGGCCTTTCAGAACAGGTGTATACAGTTGAAGTCGGAAGTTTACATACACATAGGTTGGAGTCATTAAAACTAGTTTTCAACCACTCCACTAATTTCTTGTTAACAAACTATAGTTTTGGCAAGTCGGTTAGGACATCTACTTTGTGCATGATACAAGTAATTTTTCCAACAATTGTTTACAGACAGATTATTTCACTTATAATTCACTGTATCACAATTGCAGTGTGTCAGAAGTTTACATACACTCAGTTTACTGTGCCTTTAAAAAGCTTGGAAAAAGATGTCATGGCTTTAGAAACGTCTGATAGGCTAATTGACATCAATTGTATTTCAAGGCCTACCTTCAAACTCAGTGTCTCTTTGCTTGACATCATGGGAAAATCAAAAGAAATCAGCCAAGACCTCAGAAATCTGGTTCATCCTTGGGAGCAATTTCCAAACGCCTGAAGGTAACACGTTCATCTGCACAAACAATAGTACGCAAGTATAAACACCATGGGACCACGCAGCCGTCATACCGCTCAGGACGGAGACGCGTTCTGTCTCCTAGAGATGAACGTACTTTGGTGCGAAAAGTGCAAATCTATCCCAGAACAACAGCAAAGGACCTTGTGAAAATGCTGGAGGAAACAGGTACAAAAATATCTATATCCACAGTAAAACGAGTCCTAGATCGACATAACCTGAAAGGCCGCTCAGAAAGGAAGAAGCCACTGCTCCAAAACCGCAATTAAAAAAGACAATACGGTTTGCAACTGCACATGGGGACAAAGATCGTACTTTTTGGAGAAATGTCCTCTGGTCTGATGAAACAAAAATAGAACTGTTTGGCCATAATGACTATTGTTATGTTTGGAGGAAAAAGGGGAAGGGTTGCAAGCCGAAGAACACCGTCCCAACCGTGAAGCACGGGGGTGGCAGCATCATGCTGTGGGGGTGCTTTGCTGCAGGAGGGACTGGTGCACTTCACAAAATAGATGGCATCATGAGGAAGGAAAATGATGTGGATATATTGAAGCAACATCTCAAGACATCAGTCAGGAAGTTACAGCTTGGTCGCAAATGGATCTTACATATAGACAATGACCCCAATCATACTTCCAAAGTTGTGGCAAAATGGCTTAAGGACAACAAAGTCAAGGTATTGGAGTGGCCATCACAAAGCCCTGACCTTAATCCTATAGAAAGTGTGTGGGCAGAACAGAAAAAGCGTGTGCGAGCAAGGAGGCCTACAAACCTGACTCAGTTACACCAGCTCTGTCAGGAGGAATGGGCCAAAATTCACCCAACTTATTGTGGGAAGCTTGTGGAAGGCTACCCAAAACGTTTGACCCAAGTTAAACAATTTAAAGGCAATGCTACCAAATACTAATTGAGTGTATGTAAACTTCTGACCCACTGGGAATGTGATGAAAGAAATAAAAGCTGAAATAAATCATTCTCTCTACTATTATTCTGACATGTCACATTCTTAAAATAAAGTGGTGATCCTAACTGACCTAAAACAGGAAATTTGTACTAGGATTAAATGTCAGGAATTGTGAAAAACTGAGTTTAAATGTATTTGGCTAAGGTGTATGTAAACTTCTGACTTCAACTGTATATACTGAGATCATGTGACACTTAGATTGCACACTGGTGGACTTTATTTAACTAATTATGTGACTTCTGAAGGTAATTGGTTGCACCAGATCTTATTTAGGGGCTTCATAGCAAAGGGGGTGAATACATATGCACGCACCAGTTATTTTTTTCATTTCTCTTCACCAATTTGGACAATTTTGTGTATGTCCATTACATGAAATCAAAATAAAATTCCATTTAAATTACAGGTTGTAATGCAATAAAATTGGAAAAACGCCAAGGGGGATGAATAATTTTGCAAGGCACATACATACATACAGTTGAAGTCGGAAGTTAACATACACCTTAGCCAAATACATTTAAACACAGTTTTTCACAATTCCTGACATTTAATCCTGTCTTTGGTCAGTTAGGATAACCACTTTATTTTAAGAATGTGAAATTCACCAGTGAATAACAACGCTTAGGCCTCCACTTCCAGCTTAGACATACTATATACATTTTATGGACACATTCAATTTTACAATAGTTCTATTTTGTTTGTTTTTACTCCTGAACTTCCTCTACCCTCAGCCTCTCCAATCATTTTCATGATGTCCATCCAGTTTGCTTCTATATGCCATGTCTTTCACAAAAGTTCTATATTCTCATTGTTTCTACAGATTGTAAATTGAAAATAAACATGTTTGCTAAAAGTATTATTATATTATTGATCGCTTGACTATGACTTTTCAGATCACCCAGTAGTGCTATCTGCAGTTTTAGCTCCAGGTAAATATTGCAATTCTTCAGCCATTCCTGGACCTGTGACCAAAAACAAGCTACAAATGGACAATACCAAAACAAATGATCTAATGTTTTGTACTTTGTTGAAGTATCCTCGAGTCTTCTTGTGTATGATGCTTCAAGCTTGGCACACCTGTATTTGGGGAGTTTCTCCCATTCTTCACACCAGACCCTCTCAAGCTCTGTCAGGTTGGATGGGGAGTGTCGCTACACAGCTATTTTCAGATCTCTCCAGAGATGTTCGATCGGGTTCAAGTCCGGGCTCTGGCTGAGCGACTCAAGGACATTGAGGCTTGTCCCGAAGCCACTCCTGCATTGTCTTGGCTGTGTGCTTAGGGTCATTGTCCTTTGGAAGGTCAACCACCTGTTTTCATCAAGGATCTTTCTGTACTTTGCTCCATTCATCTTTGCCTTGATCCTGACTAGTCTCCCAGTCCCTGCCGCTGAATAACATCCCCACAGCATGATGCTGCCACCACCGTAGGAATGGTGCCAGGTTTCCTCCAGACGTGACGCTTGGCATTCAGGCCAGAGAATCTTGTTTCTCATGGTTTGAGAGTCCTTTAGGTGCCTTTTGGCAAACTCCAAGCGGGCTGTCGTGCCTTTTACTGAGGAGTGGCTTCTGTCTGGCCGCTCTACCATAAAGGCCTGATTGGTGGAGTGCTGCAGAGATGGTTGTCCTTCTGGAAGGTTCTCCCATCTCCACAGAGGAACTCTAGAGCTCTGTCAGAGTGACCATAGGGTTCTTGGTCACCTCCCTGACCAAGGCCCTTCTCCCCCGATTGCTCAGTTTGGCCGGACGGCCAGCTCTAGGAAAAGTCTTGGTGGTTCCAAGCTTCTTCCATTTAAGAATGATGGAGGCTACTGTGTTCTTGGGAACCTTCAATGCTGCCTACATTCTTTGGTACCCTTCCCCAGATCTGTGCCTCGACACAATCCTGTCTCGGAACTCTACGGGCAATTCCTTCGACCTCATGGCTTGGCTGTTGCTCTGACATGCACTGTCAACTGTGGGACTTTATATAGACAGGTGGGTGCCTTTCCAAATCATGTCCAATCAATTGAATTTACCACAGGTGGACTCTAATCAAGTTGTAGAAACATCTCAAGGATGATGAATGGAAACCGGATTCACCTGACCTCAATTTCGAGTCTCATAGCAAAGGGCCTGAATACTTATGTAAATAAGGTATTTCCGTTTTTCTTTTCTTTTTGCAAAAATTTCGAAAAAACCGTTTTTGCTTTGTCATTATGGGGTACTGTGTGTAGATTGATGAGGATTTGTATTTATTTAATCCATTTTAGAACAAGGCTGTAACGTAACAAAATGAGGAAAAAGTCAAGGGGTCTGAATACTTTCCGAATGCACTGTATCTACATCAATTTCCTCGTACACCTGCACATCGACTCAGTACTGGTACCCCGTGTATATAGCCAAGGTATCGTTACTCATGTTGTATGTATTTATTATTATTATTGATAATTTTTCTATAATTTGTCTCTCTACATTGTTGGGAAGGGGCCCGTAAGTAATTATTTCACTGTTAGTCTACACCTGTTGTTTACGAAGCATGTAACAAATACAATTAGATTTTGATGTCATAGCTGACACCCCATCTTTTAATCTTATTTCGAAGCAGATATTTAACGAAGTTTTGGGAAAAACGTGGTCGCATAAAAACTGAGGGAGATTTTACCACACTGCAATCTGCACAGTTCATCCAGTAAATGTGTTTTTGTGAAATGTTCTGTGTAAATTGTTCAAAGTAGTCCTTGTGCATAGAGTTATATGCTTTGTTAAACTTTGAAATTAATGGTTTTTGTTTGGCATAGATTTTAAAGTGAAAGATCTGAGTCAGTGTAATTCCGTTAACGTGGAATTGTCCTTAGAGAACGTCTGTAGAGCCCCAGTCAATCCCACATCTCACCATTTTCCTTCATTGCAGCCCCCGATGGAGGAGGGAGGCCGCAAGAGACACTCATCCAGCGGAGATGGTTGCCGCCGCCACCCCTCCCAAGGCTCCAGCCGCCCCCACAGCCAAAGTGGCATCAGCCCAGCCCCGTTTGCCCAGGCCCCAGCCAGGGATGATGCCAAAAACAGCAGCCAGAGCCAGCGACCTGCAGCCCGGGCCCCGGCAACCACATCAGACGCCCAGCCACCAAAGTAACCCCGGACAACCCTCAGCCATGTGGATCAACTCAACGTCATTAAGGGGGTACAATTGTTCACGCAAGCATGAGAGAATGACTTTCTGACAAACGACTTGTGATTGAATAAATCAAGGCTCTTCCATTTTGTTTGAAACACCCAGCGTTTTGTCTTGTTAGAGACGAGACTGAATTACTATTGAAGGAGTGGATTCATTATTTTATTTAGCAAACCTTGGCATATATTCTCCCTGTGGTTACAGTGTGGGGAATGGACAATGGTTTCTGAGGACGTTTGATGGCAACTGCAAACCTTGTGGCCCCCTTTCAATCGTTGGACCCCCTTTCCAATTGGCACCATCTAGTTGGCTGACAGATCCAATTTTTATTTCTACGAGGCAAGTGGTGGATTGGAAATTGATGCTTTGAAAAACAAGTATTTGACTTGTTGTTTTGGGCGAGAGAGAAATAGAGGGAGAATAAAAAGATGGGGGGGGGGGGGGGACACCAAACCAAACCAAATGATGAAAAAAATGACTTGTACCAATCCCTCAGTATGAGCAAGATCATTGAAAGTTGCCTTATACTAATGTTTTTTCTGCTTAACTTGTGCCCACCACAATAATGTCGATTGTACAGCATTGACAATTGCAAATATGCAACATTGGTCACCACCTACAGTAGTGGCCACTCAGTGACTCCCTGCCTGCCAAACAGTTTTGAACTCACCCCTCTGAACTGTCTTCCAAATGTTCTGTTACAAAGCCTACAGTGACACTCCCACTGACAAAGAAATGATCAGTCTATAATTTTAATGGTCGGTTTATTTGAATAGTGAGAGACAGAATAACAACAACAAAATCCAGAAAAACACATGTCAAAAATGTTATAAATTGATTTGCATTTTAATGAGGGAAATAAGTATTTGACCCCCTCTCAATCAGAAAGATTTCTGGCTCCCAGGTGTCTTTTATACAGGTAACGAGCTGAGATTAGGAGCACACTCTTAAAGGGAGTGCTCCTAATCTCAGTTTGTTACCTGTATAAAAGACACCTGTCCACAGAAGCAATCAATCAATCAGATTCCAAACTCTCCACCATGGCCAAGACTAAAGAGCTCTCCAAGGATGTCAGGGACAAGATTGTAGACCTACACAAGGCTGGAATGGGCTACAAGACCATCGCCAAGCAGCTTGGTGAGAAGGTGACAACAGTTGGTGTGATTATTCGCAAATGGAAGAAACACAAAAGAACTGTCAATCTCCCTCGGCCTGGGGCTCCATGCAAGATCTCACCTTGTGGAGTTGCAATGATCATGAGAATGGAGAGGAATCAGCCCAGAACTACACGGGAGGATCTTGTCAATGATCTCAAGGCAGCTGGGACCATAGTCACCAAGAAAACAATTGGTAACACACTACGCCATGAAGGACTGAAATCCTGCAGCGCCCGCAAGGCTTTGGGGGTGTTTTTCTGCTAAGGGGACAGGACAACTTCATCACATCAAAGGGACGATGGACGGGCCATGTACCGTCAAATCTTGGGTGAGAACCTCCTTCCCTCAGCCAGGGCATTGAAAATGGGTCGTGGATGGGTATTCCAGCATGACAATGACCCAAAACACACGGCCAAGGCAACAAAGGAGTGGCTCAAGAAGAAGCCCATTAAGGTCCTGGAGTGGCCTAGCCAGTCTCCAGACCTTAATCCTATAGAAAATCTGTGGAGGGAGCTGAAGGTTCGAGTTGCCAAACGTCAGCCTCGAAACCTTAATGACTTGGAGAAGATCTGCAAAGAGGAGTGGGACAAAATCCCTCCTGAGATGTGTGCAAACCTGGTGGCCAACTACAAGAAACGTCTGACCTCTGTGATTGCCAACAAGGGTTTTGCCACCAAGTACTAAGTCATGTTTTGCAGAGGGGTCAAATACTTATTTCCCTCATTAAAATGCAAATCAATGTATAACATTTTTGACATGCGTTTTTTTCTGGATTTTTTTGTTGTTATTCTGTCTCTCACTATTCAAATAAACCTACCATTCAAATTATAGACTGATCATGTCTTTGTCAGTGGGCAAACGTACAAAATCAGCAGGGGATCAAATACTTTTTTCCCCTCACTGTACCCCTTTACCCACCCCTTAGTGTGTTTGCAATTTGTGGCTCTTTGTGCTAAAACGCTTTGCTGGGGAGGGGGAGAACAACCAATGGACAGACTGTCTCCTCTCTGACCCCTGAACCCAACCAACCTGTTCTTTTCCCATGAACAGCAGACTACACCCAATCTACCAGACATACAGTCAGATAAACTAATAATCTAGTGTGGATAACGTAATCTTTATCCAACAGAGAACTGATGATATCAAATAGATAAGTGATTTTATTTTTTCTTCACTAATGTAAATGTAAATTGGACAGAAGATAACTTACACCTCCTGGCTAATTGTTTTATTGTTATAGAACAGTTTATATAGTCACTTTACATGTGTATGTACTTTTTCTCCTTTTTTTTTTTAATGGTCTGATATTTTAATGCTTTTTCATTTGCTGTGTTTCTAGCTATGCTATGGATATGTCTCAGTATTGCATTTGTTGAAACCTCTGTAGACTTTCAGAAATGGGAACATAGTATATATAGTATAGTACAAATAAAGGGAAATTTACATTAGGTCATCAACTGACATTCAATGCAACAACCCCCAAAAAAATCACACGTTTCCAGAAAGTCAAGTTCAATTTCAAATCATAGTTAATTAAATATATTTTATGAATTCAGTTTACAAATTGATTGATTGATGTGAAGCACTAGTGTGTTCATGCGACGGCAATTCAAACTTTCCACGAATCGTATCATGAGCCAAAGTCAAACTTGATGGTTGAATATATAACTAACTAGTTATTGATCAGGGTAATGGTCCTCTTTAGTTAAATATCAAATGGCATAAATAACAGTTATAGCTATACCTTCTGCTGGAGGTTGAGGAGTGATTCAGATTCACTGGTGGTTCCGCTGTGTTAGAATGTCCAATTGTCTTCATGTTTGTTTTACAATTTATTTTCATTTACCATTGTTGAAAAAGTTGAGTTTCGCGAGAATTAACGTTGTTTTTAGCTTTTTTTCCTTTCTTGTGGGTTTAACTCAAGGGAGCTGTGGGTCAATTGAGGGGGCTTATATGATTGATGATGAATCACTCAAGAAATCTTTTACTCGAGGAATAAAGACAAATTACGACAAAAACTCAAATAATTTCCCAAGCATGTGAATCCTCTGAGAGGATATGGTGTGGTGGCTGTGGGCCTGGGGGGTGGTCACCAGGGGGCGTGCTTCCACAGACAGACAGCCACACAGACGTCCCCCCCCCCCACCCCCAGTGAATGTCACCCAAGTGTGTCCCCCCCACTTGTCCTGGACCAGGATAGAGGGGACAGGTCCTTTGGGGTCCAGCCTATTCGTTAGCATAGTGACACAAACCCTGTGGGTGGAACAGCTGGTGCTCCAATTAACTCTATGCCTGGTGTCCTGCAGTGTCAGATGGACTGGGCCGGACACTGGAGAGAAAGAGAGGGAGGGAGGATGAGAAAAGAGGACGTAACCCACTTTGGGTTTGTCAATATTCAGAGGATATGAATGGCTATGATGTCTGGGACTGCAAAAATGACAAAATTCCATAAAGCCATGTAAATAAAAATAGCTGTATATGAACCATTAAGACATTTTAATAGTTCATTACCATTACAATATCCTAGGCTTGTCATGATGGAAAAAAAGAAAAAGAAATACTTGAATGATCTTGTATTATAACACTTAATATCCATAATATCTGCTTTGTAGGCTGTGATTCGCAATTAGTGTTATTTGTAGTAATTGTGCTTTTCCTTATATATAAAAAAACAAACATTAAATGGACAAAAAAAACTTAAACACCACCTGTGTCATCGTCCTGTTATTTACTTGTCTGTATTTTCCTGTTGGGAGTTCCAGAACGCAGGATTATTAAGTTAACCAGCTAACTTTGAGAAACTGCCACTGTTTTTCTGGCTGATTAAGAAAGCAAAATGTGTATATTGGTTGTTGTTGTCAACTCACTGGGTATGTTCGAGCAGTAAGGCTAACGCAACCGACTGCAGAAGAAAGTCTACGAGTGAAGTCGGGGGAGGTGCATCTGCAACAGCTGAAAGTCAGACACTGTTGTGGTTTACCTACAGCAAGGCTCCAACCCCCATACAACACATTTACAAACGTACAGTTATAACTACTGTTCCCTGAAGGAGGGAAACTAGGTAAAACACAGCTACGGGGAGTTTGCATGCTAGCGCCCTCTACTGAAGAACATTAGAATCACACCTGACAAGGCCAATGAACACCGTGCCTCACCAGAAGCCCCACATTCCACAGGATAAACCAGAGGCACGGATTCATTCCTTCAATTCAGTTCTGCTCTTCACCAAGCCCAGAACTTGGTGGCACGTAGTTATAGTCATGACTGTCCGTGCCCTTTCAGTCGGTCAACTTTGTACAACACAACTATAGGGATATGAAATCACGCCCCAAGCCGATATCAAATTAAATGGCCCACGGCAGACCATCCGGAGTTCCAAGCCAACCTGCGGTATCCGGGTAACCCCATGTCCGCTCAATGTACATGCATAACACTCATACCGGACACAGGGAATGTAACCTCCGCTGTTCCTTAGCAAACTGAGGAGGCGAAAAGGGAAAGAGCTCAAAAGTTAGAGACCTGTAGGACATAGTCATGACGAAGGCCGCATTAGGACGCAACGTCAACTTCGAGTCAACAAGGGCAACTTCCTACAGGAGGGGTGAACGGATAACGCGTGGAGATCTCCAACGCGTTTAACCGAGACCAAAGCCACGAGCAGGGCAGTCTTGTAGGAGAGGATCTTCAGATCCACAGTGTCTATTGATTCAAATGGGGCCTCACACAGCACATCCAAAACCAAAGCCAAATCCCGAGTGGGCGCAATAGGTTTAGAAACTGGCCTGAGACTGCACACACCTTTTTAAAAACCCTGGAGTGGCACCATCAATTCCCACATGACACGCTGTAAACACCTGCCATTTATATCAATACAACCCTCTCCTGGAGGGTGCACTTGTGGACTGTATAGTAACCATAACGTTCAGAGGTAAACCACTTGCCATCAGATTGGACCTTTCAGGGGCCAAGCCCACAGATTCCAAATGTCCGGCCGCGGGTGCCAGACCTGCACTGGCGCCTGGAACAACAGGTCCATGGTCAATGGGAGTTGCCACGGGTCCCCGCCTAAAAGGCGAATGATCTCCACGAGCCACAAAGGGTCAATGAGGCACCCTTCCCAGCGTGGGCTGAATCAAAGGTGTATTCATTACAACGATTCTGTTGCAACACGTTTCGTCTGTTGCAAAACGTTTTGCAACAGAAACCGTTTACTCTAAACGCTCTTCAACATGACATTAAAGCTGTTGGGTTTTTAAATGGAAGTTGTAGTTCATTTTAATTGTATGGTTTCCACGCGTTTACATTCCAATCCGAATAGTCTGCGAAGTGTTTGGCATCTATAAATTATAGATTTTCCACGCACTGTGTGAAAACACTAATTGTCGGCTGTTTTTCTCGATAAGCGACCTAAGTGCTCCGTTGGGAACGGATGCTCTCGTTCACCAGTGGCCTCTGACAGTCCTTTATGTATTTCTCCATGTGGACATGGGGTGTATTCATTATGACAATTCTGTTGCAAAACATTGTCTGTTGCAAAATGTTTTGCAACAGAAACCATTTACTCCAAAGCCTGTTGAGGGTTTTTTCTTAAATGGAAGTTGTAGTTCAGTTGTGTCTCTCTTCCAAAAACATATGCATCTGGAAGAACTTGGAAGGAACCCTGCGGATTTCACTCGTTCTTCCAGATGCATATGTTTTTGCAATAAAATGCTAAATCATTAATTAAAAATCATACAATGTGATTTTCTGGATTTTTGTTTTAGATTCCGTCTCTCACAGTTGAAGTGTACCTATGATAAAAATTACAGACCTCTACATGCTTTGTAAGTAGGAAAACCTGCAAAATCGGCAGTGTATCAAATACTTGTTCTCCCCACTGTATCTTGAATAGATTAAGTAATACACATTTCTTGGGCACTTGACTCTAATTGCTCCTGTAAATTGCTCTGGATAAGAGCATCTGCTAAATGACTAAAATGTAAATGTAATCCAGATTTCTGGAACAGCCCCCTTATTTGATCACATCACTGATGGATGATATTGTTTTCATCAATATTGTAGCAGACTACTGATTATGTGTGTGAAAGAGTGGAGAGATTGAGGGTGAAAACGATGACTTACAGATGTGACGATGAATGCTGATTTTGTGTCAAAGCTTAGAAGAATTTTTTTAAACACATCTCATTTGTTTCAAAGGTTTTATTCTGCAACAATGCACAGTTTATGAATTACGGGTCATGTAAAAATCTATGATGACTCCCAAATCTCAACCTAGGAGTCAGACTCTACAGAACACATCCCTTTAAGGACCCATTTACAGATTGTACAAATGGTGACAAGGATGGGATGATTGTATGGTTTTCCATGGCCCAGAATCCAAACTTACTAACAATACAATAAGTACACTAACATACTGATATTAGTAAGCTTATTAAAGGTTTTCTAAAGTTACACAGGAAACATTCAAAGAAATAAGTGCTAATTACGGTAATAAAGTGCCATCCAACAATCGGATTATAAAATATAGGGATTTATAATTAAAATGAGGTATGTCCGCTGTTTTGGTCCCGTGGCTACCACGTTGTAAGAGTGTGAAGCGAACCCCTGCACATGCGCATATACTGTGTGAGAGCGAAGTCTTGCATCTTGCTCATCACAATATCTGCGTTGCTGCTTGTGCAATGTCATTTGGCTGACTCTACCTTTAATAAGGACTCAACTGTATCTACTACCAAGAGCAGAAAGGAACAGCGGGAGTGGAGCCATCCCAGTGCCAGACTTGAGGATGGGAATACTCTGATTGCATCCCAATAATCTCTCCTTTCTCTGTGCACTTGTTCACTTCCCTTCATCATACATTTTCCTCTAGCCCATGCTTACACCAATCCAATGCTTTTAACTGTATGGGGAGTAGTGAACGAGTGCACACTACAGGAGTAAGGAGTGATTATTGGGATGTAGCTGGAGGTCAGAAGTGACGTTTGGGTTAGGGGAGAATCACTGGACCTTCTTGGGGGGGTCTGGGATGCTCTCGGTCAGAGGGGTGAGGCTGAGGAGCAGGGTGTGACGCTCGTAGGCCTTGGTCTTCCTGAAGTTGGCGTCGGTGCCGTGTAATCTGTCCAGAACCCCCAGGACTCCAAAGTTCTGGTTGAACCTGCAGAGATGGAGGGTAGAGTACATTATTAGTACAAAAGAAAACACAGTGTACTGTACTTAACGTTTCCTCCTTTGAATTTTACTTGTACATCGCCTGGCTAAAGCCACAGACTCGCTGTGTGTCAGGCAGGCTAACTTGTCCATGGAACAAATCCCAAACCAATCCCAATACCTCACCCTTTTGCACGTATCAACTCCCCTTTTCGGATCGGGAAGGAGTAGATTTAATAAGCTGTAACCAATATTACAGAAAAATTCCACCTAGACTTCAGAAGAGATATGTGGAGGAGCTATTACCACACTTTTAATATCTGCCATGGCCGGCAGAGTCAACAAAGTCCAAAGTACAAACAAAGAACTGGACAGGGATTCACAGTATTAAAATGAAGATGCCAAGAACAGTGTGCACTATATCAGTTAACATACCAAAGTTCCCTCTGGGAAAATAAAGTTATTCTGTGTATATCCCAAATGGCACCCTATGTCCTTTATAGTGCACTATTCTTAACAAAGTCCCATAGGGCTCTGGTCACAAGTAGTGCGCTACATAGGGAATAGGGTGCCAGGTGGGACGCAACCCTATCTTGCATAAGACAGGACTCACTTGAGGTGGTGGTAGTCGTGGAACTCGGGGGAGGGCAGGAAGGGGAGGTGGTAGCCACAGTGGGAGATGGTGGTGCTGACCAGAGCCAGAGCGTACCACAGGGTGGTTGTGACAAGGTGGGAACCCAGGATCACAGGGCCGATCAGAGCAGGCAGCATGTTGGACAGCTGGGGGTGAAGCGGGACCATCAGCAACATGGTTTTACATTGTTTAGAAATAGGCTACATGGTTATAAATGATCTGCTTACAAGATTATCCACACTGCAGTGTTTCAAGCTATGGTCCCCTAGTCTGACTTTAAGAGAGAGGAAAGAAAGAAAGAAAGAAAGAGGAGTGGACAGGCATAAAGTGCTCACCACGTGCTCCAGAGGATGGGCGTAGAGAGAGACCACTCCGATGGGAGCCGTCCACTCATGGTGCTGCTTGTGGAAATGCTTGTAGAGGGCAGGATGGTGGAACAGCCTGACAGGGAGGGGATCACAAGTTAAATGTCAGAAAGGTGTCAGAGACTGTCGAAGATACTGTCAGGGTGAGTTGCACTTTCACTCTCAGCTCTCTTGTATACTGAACAAAAATATAAACGCAACATGTAAAGTGTTGGTTCCATGTTTCATGAGCTGAAATAAAAGATCCCAGAAATGTTTGATACCCACAAAAAGTCTTACTTCTCTCACATTTTGAGCACAAATTTGTTTACTTTGTGAGTATTTCTCCTTTGCCAAGATAATCCATCCACCTGACATGTGTGGCATATCAAGAAGCTGATTAAACAGCATGATCATTACACAGATGCACCTTGTGCTGGGGATAATAAAAGGCCACTAAAATGTGCAATTTTGTCACACAACACTACACAACCAATGTCTCAAGTTTTGATGGAGCATGCAATTGGCATGCTGACTGCAGGAATGTCCACCAGAGCTGTTGCCAGAAAATGTCTCTACCATAAGCCGCCTGCAATGTTGTTTTAGAGAATTTGACAGTATGTCCAACCGGCCTCACAACCGCAGACCACGTGTAACCACGCCAGCCCAGGACCTCCACATCCAGCTTTTTTACCAGTGGGATCGTCTGAGACCAGTCACCCGGACAGCTGATGAAACTGAGGAGTATTTCTGTCTGTAATAAAGCCCTTTTGGGGGAAAACTCATTCTGATTGGCTGGGCCTGGCTCCCCAGTGGATGGGCCTATGCCCTCCACTGCAAAGCTGTACAGAATAAAACATATTCCAAAGCATGCATCCTGTGGCAAAGCAATTCACTTTTTGGCGTGAACACAAAGTGTTATTTTTGGGGCAAATACAATACAACACATTACCGTGTTCCACTCTCCATATTTTCAAGCATAGTGGTGGCTGCCTCATGTTATGGGTATGCTTGTAATCATTAAGGACTGGGGAGTTTTTCAGGATAAAAAAATAACGTAATGGAGCTTAGCACAGGCAAAATCCTAGAGGAAAACCTAGTTAAGTCTGCTTTCCACCAGACACTAGGAGACAAATTCACTTTTCAGCAGGACAATCACCTAAAACACATGGCCATATCTACACTGGAGTTGCTTACAAAGAAGACAGTGAATGTTCCTGAGTGGCCGAGTTACAGTTTTGACTTAGAAATCGACTTAAAAATCAATGGCAAGACTTGCAAATGGTTGTCCAGCAATGATCAACAACCAATTTGACAAAGCTTGCTTGAAGAATTATGAAAAGATTAATGGACAAATTAACACACAATCCAGGTGTGGAAAGCTCTTATAGACTTACCCAGAAAGACTCACAGCTGTAATTGCTGCCAAAGGTGATTCTACAAAGCATTGACTCAGGGTGTGAATACTTACGTAAATGAGATATTTCAGTGTTTCATTTTCAATACATTTGCTAAAATTTCTATATACAGTGAGGGAAAAAAAGTATTTGATCCCCTGCTGATTTTGTACATTTGCCCACTGACAAAGAAATGATCAGTCTATAATTTTAATGGTAGGTTTATTTGAACAGTGAGAGACAGAATAACAACAAAAACATGTTATAAATTGATTTGCATTTTAATGAGGGAAATAAGTATTTGACCCCCTCTCAATCAGAAAGATTTCTGGCTCCCAGTTGTCTTTTAAACAGGTAACGAGCTGAGATTAGGAGCACACTCTTAAAGGGAGTGCTCCTAATCTCAGCTTGTTACGTGTATAAAAGACACCTGTCCACAGAAGCAATCAATCAATCAGATTCCAAACTCTCCACCATGGACAAGACCAAAGAGCTCTCCAAGGATGTCAGGGACAAGATTGTAGACCTACACAAGGCTGGAATGGGCTACAAGACCATCGGCAAGCAGCTTGGTGAGAAGGTGACAACACTTGGTGCGATTATTCACAAATGGAAGAAACACAAAAGAACTGTCAATCTCCCTCGGCCTGGGGCTCCATGCAAGATCTCACCTCGTGGAGTTGCAATGATCATGAGAATGGTGAGGAATCAGCCCAGAAATACACGGGAGGATCTTGTCAATGATCTAAAGGCAGCTCATAGTCACCAAGAAAACAATTGGTAACACACTATGCCGTGAAGGACTGAAATCCTGCAGCGCCCGCAAGGTCCCCCTGCTCAAGAAAGCACATATACAGCCCGTCTGAAGTTTGCCAATGAACATCTGAATGATTCAGAGGAGAACTGGGTGAAAGTGTTTTGGTCAGATGAGACCAAAATCGAGCTCTTTGGCATCAACTCAACTCGCCGTGTTTGGAGGAGGAGGAATGCTGCCTATGACCCCAAGAACACCATCCCCACGTCAAACATGGAGGTGGAAACATTATGCTTTGGGGGTGTTTTTCTGCTAAGTGGACAGGACAACTTCACCACATTAAAAGGGACGATGGACGGGTCCATGTACCGTCAAATCTTGGGTGAGAACCTCCTTCCCTCAGCCAGGGCATTGAAAATGGGTCGTGGATGGTTATTCCAGCATGACAATGACCCAAAATACACAGCCAAGGCAACAAAGGAGTGGGTCAAGAAGAAGCACATTAAGGTCCTGGAGTGGCCTAGCCAGTCTCCAGACCTTAATCCCATAGAAAATCTGTGGAGGGAACCGAAGATTCGAGTTGCCAAACGTCTGCCTCGAAACCTTAATGACTTGGAGAAGATCTGCAAAGAGGAGTGGGACAAAATCCCTCCTGAGATGTGTGCAAACCTGGTGGCCAACTACAAGAAACGTCTGACCTCTTTTATTGCCAACAAGGGTTATGCCACCAAGTACTAAGTCATGTTTTGCAGAGGGGTCAAATACTTATTTCCCTCATTAAAATGCAAATCAATTTATAACATTTTTGACATGCGTTTTTTTGGATTTTGTTGTTGTTATTCTGTCTCTCACTGTTCAAATAAACCTACCATTAAAATTATAGACTGATCATATCTTTGTCAGTGGGCAAACGTACAAAATCAGCAGGGGATCAAATACTTTTTTCCCTCACTGTATATTTTTTTCACTTTTTCATTATGGGGTATTGTGTGTAGATCGGTGAGAAAAAACACCTATTTAATCAATTTTGAATTCAGGCTGCAACACAACAAAATGTGGAATAAGTCAAGGGATATGACTACTTTCTGAAGGCACTGTAATGATCTTTTCTTTGGAACCTCTCAGAGGAATGTGTATGTTTCCCCATATGCATATGTCTGTCTATTGTTTGTCTATCCTTTGCTTATCTTTGGTTACAGCACTTTCCACACCTTCAGCTAAATCAATTAGTACCTAGCCACAGCTATTACCTGTGTGAGTAGTAGAACATGACCTCCTCCAGCACGGCGCAGAAGGCCAACTCCAACAGGCCTCGGTGGAAGGTGGGCAGCTCTGGGCCGCAGGGATTCCCCCTATAAAACATAACCGCCCAGCACACCACCACCATGGGAGCAGAGATGAAGAGCTGGTTGAGGACCACAGTCTTCACAGCGTGGCGCAGCCTCACTGGGTCAACCTACGGGATGGGAGAATTTTGGTGGCAAATGTCAGGTCATCCATTTCTGCAATCAGCAGTCTTCTTGTTTATTGTTCACTTAGTTGAACGTGTTTTGTTTACTTCAAAGTCTGACATTTCTGCTAGTTTTTAAGATGTAAGTAGGGGTGCTATTTTATTTTTGTACATTTTACAAAAGTAGTGGACTGGGCCTTCACTAGTTCTGTATTAGCGGAACGATATATCCCAACCCCCGACTACAGCCGTATGTAGCTCGAGAAAAAAATGATTGTGTGAAAAAAATCGCAGCACCCCCAAACATCTTCCCGCGGCAATGCTCTTGTTTGTTGTGTACTTAGAATATTACTCTAGCTAGCACCATCAATCTTTCTTAGGAAACCACAATGTAGCACATTACAATAAAGTCATTTATTGATAGTGTGTTCATTCGTCTGAAAGAATTTGGATGGTATCCATGACAAATTCAAAAGCCAATCCAGAGCTGGACAAATCAAACACTTGCTACATACTAGCGGGAGTATACATCACTGTATACCAGATTTAGTGAGACCATAGTAACATCATAGTAATGTTAATTCAGAAATATATTTATTCCAAATGAATTAAACAGATTTATGCTTTATAATCAGATAAAGAGGTTATGTCCCGCTGGTAAAGTATAGTTATCCTCGGTCCTGTCTCATGTTTCCTGAGCTTTGCACCCTCACATTGAAAAGTCATCACTGACCTTTGAAACTCACAGGGAAGTTCTTCAATATCTGTGCGTGTTACCTAAGGTGATTATATCTAGCTGCATTTGGCATATATTATAAACAGGTAATGTTTATGACTGATAAGCGCTTTGAGTAACGCTATGTCACTTAAGTATCTAATCATCCACAGATTGCAGGAGGGGGCAGGCTAGGGTAACCAGCGGTCATCAGTAATTGCAGTCGTTATCTCGCTAGTGTCCTGTAAAACAACATCTATTAATCAAACGCAGTAAGAGGACTTTGGTCCGATCGACTGATGGACATGCCCTTCATTGAGACCTGAGTTTTTCCTGACCACGTGACCTGGACATGCAACATGAACAGGAGAGAAACTCTTGGCCCTAGTTATGATGACTCTGAATTTCACAACACACATGCTAGTACAAACACACGTGCACGCGAGAGCACACACAACTCCTTTCACTAGAGTGAAATGTGAGGCTTTCATAAGGACGATCCTGATTTGAGCCCTTCCTGCCTACTGTAATAAATGGAGGTCATGGTGAGATACAGGAGTAAAACAAGATTAGATTGACTGTACCGGGTTGTTCTTGTCCACCTGTATTCTGTAACGGGTGATGAAGTTGGGCATTCCAGTGTAATCAACCAGCATGAGCAGAAGATTGGACCCCCAGAAAGCCACAAAGGGCACAAACATCGCCCCTGTTCAGCACAACCGAAAACAATGCATTACATACAATACAAAACAACAACCGCATCATGTACACATGAACCAATTCAAGATACAGCATGTCCTAACATTATCTAAGAACAGCTCAGCATGCTTCACTCAATCAGTGCATTAACATCTCATTAAAGTGATATAGAACCAAAGATGGTTACATATTGCAATATTACATGCAATATTACATAATGTCCATCTGGCTAAATAACAAGTAAACTTTCTCCTGATGTTCCCTGTCAGACAGTCTTCTATTTACAAGACCCTTACAGTGAGGGAAAAAAGTATTTGATCCCCTGCTGATTTTGTACGTTTGCCCACTGACAAAGAAATGATCAGTCTATAATTTTAATGGTAGGTTTATTTGAACAGTGAGAGACAGAATAACAACAAAAAAATCCAGAAAAAACGCATGTCAAAAATGTAATAAATTGATTTGCATTTTAATGAGGGAAATAAGTATTTGACCCCCTCTCAATCAGTAAGATTTCTGGCTCCCAGGTGTCTTTTATACAGGTAACGAGCTGAGATTAGGAGCACACTCTTAAAGGGAGTGCTCCTAATCTCAGTTTGTTACCTGTTTAAAAGACACCTGTCTACAGAAGCAATCAATCAATCAGATTCCAAACTCTCCACCATGGCCAAGACCAAAGAGCTCTCCAAGGATGTCAGGGACAAGATTGTAGACCTACACAAGGCTGGAATGGGCTACAAGACCATCGCCAAGCAGCTTGGTGAGAAGGTGACAACAGTTGGTACGATTATTCGCAAATGGAAGGAACAGAAAATAACTGTCAATCTCCCTCGGCCTGGGGCTCCATGCAAGATCTCACCTTGTGGAGTTGCAATGATCATGAGAACGGTGAGGAATCAGCCCAGAACTACACGGGAGGATCTTGTCAATGATCACAAGGCAGCTGGGACCATAGTCACCAAGAAAACAATTGGTAACACACTACGCCGTGAAGGACTGAAATCCTGCAGCGCCCGCAAGGTCCCCCTGCTCAAGAAAGCACATATACAGCCGTCTGAAGTTTGCCAATGAACATCTGAATGATTCAGAGGAGAACTGGGTGAAAGTGTTGTGGTCAGATGAGACCAAAATCGAGCTCTTTGGCATCAACTCAACTCGCCGTGTTTGGAGGAGGAGGAATGCTGCCTATGACCCCAAGAACACCATCCCCACCGTCAAACATGGAGGTGGAAACATTATGCTTTGGGGGTGTTTTTCTGCTAAGGGGACAGGACAACTTCACCGGATCAAAGGGACGATGGACGGGGCCATGTACCGTCAAATCTTGAGTGAAAACCTCCTTCCCTCAGCCAGGGCATTGAACATGGGTAGTGGATGGGTATTCCAGCATGACAATGACCCAAAACACACGGCCAAGGCAACAAAGAAGTGGCTCAAGAAGAAGCACATTAAGGTCCTGGAGTGGCCTAGCCAGTCTCCAGAACTTAATCCCATAGAAAATCTGTGGAGGGAGCTGAAGGTTCGAGTTGCCAAACGTCAGCCTCGAAACCTTAATGACTTGGAGAAGATCTGCAAAGAGGAGTGGGACAAAATCCCTCCTGAGATGTGTGCAAACCTGGTGGCCAACTACAAGAAACGTCTGACCTCTGTGATTGCCAACAAGGGTTATGCCACCAAGTACTAAGTCATGTTTTGCAGAGGGGTCAAATACTTATTTCCCTCATTAAAATGCAAATCAATTTATAACATTTTTGACATGCGTTTTTCTGGATTTTGTTGTTGTTATTCTGTCTCTCTGTTCAAATAAACCTACCATTAAAATTATAGACTGATCATGTCTTTGTCAGTGGGCAAACGTACAAAATCAGCAGGGGATCAAATACTTTTTTCCCTCACTGTATGTGCTAAAAATGTCACTGCACTACTTTTGACCAGTGCCAATAGGGCATATATAGGGAATAGGGTGCCATTTGAGACGCACCCTTTACAAATCACATGACATTTTTACATTTTAGTCATTTTAGCAGACGCTCTTATCCAGAGCGACTTACAGGAGCAATTAGGGTTAAGTGCCTTGCTCAAGGGCAGATTTTTCACCTAGTCGGCTCAGGGATTAGAACCAGCGACCTTTCGGTTACTGGCACAACGCTCTTAACCACTAAGCTACCTGCCGCCCCATCATCTCTAGACAGATAATGTTTGTGTCTAATAATGAATGGAACATAAATATACTTCACAACTCAATTCTGGGGAGAATACTTTGTTTGTCTTTTTTATATCACCTAAATATCAGCACTGTGGAACATCAGAATTCCAGGAGAGAGTTGTACTGGGCTGCTCGCCACAGTCTATTCCTTCCTGTTCCTTTGTGCAGCCCATAATACTTCCTTTAGTTTATGTCAGATGATATTTCCAGCCTGTCTATTCATAGATGGCGTGTCATGCTGTTATGTAACTGTATGGGTAAATGTTTTGTTGTTGGTGTTGTTGTTGTAGCGAAGGTGAGTTGGACTCATGCTATCGTGATGAGGTAACCCTGCCTGTGACTTAAAATCAGTGTCACCCTCAGCACAAGTGGGAATTTCCTCTTGGTCTAATGCTTAAGATGTTGTTTTCCCAAGCGGGACACCAGGGTTCAGATCCCACCAGTTACATTGTCTCTTACCGGCATAGAACAAGGCTGTCTCGTGTCCCTCCCACCTCTGGTGCACTTTAGTCCACTGGTTTTGCCAGAAGTCTCCTGATGCTCCCCAAAACCTCTGCAGATGCCTGGGAGGCACAGGGAAAAGGCTAAGGTTACAACTTGTCCCACAAATCTGTGGTCGCAACAACAATTCAATGTTGTGCTTATTACTGAAAACATCCCTGTCCCTAGATGCTGTGTTAAGGTCTTGTCGTTATTACCATGTTAAGGAGTTCCCGAAGGCTGCCAGGACAAAGAGGCTAGATCCAATGACGATGACCGCTTTCATCACTGAGTCCCACAGGCCTCCTGTGGCCTCCTATAGGAAGAGAAAACCACATCTTTAAAACATCAGCTCTCTGGCCCAACAGTCAGGTTATAACACAGTGGACAAAGTGATGAACATTCTGTTCATCTGTAACTGTCAAGTCTGGGTGATCTTTTTTAAATTATTTTTTTATGTAAATGTATGAGCTGTGGAAATGAATTTCCTCTTCAGAGGACAATACAATTGATCTAACCTATGGAGCTACTCTGCTATTGTGTACCTCTATAAAATGTACATTATCAGTCTATTTGAAATATGTTTAACAGCCATAGAACGCTTTTAAACCTTTGGTTACATCGTTGTGTCAACTCTTTTCCAAAGGCTAGGAACGCCTTGGACACTGGAGGCAAACCAGCCAGAGAGGCAGAGCCACTCAAGACCTGTGTCCAGTGGGGCGACAACTCAGAGTATTGACTTCACTGTCAAATGAAAATTAACCTTAGTTAAGGAGGCTTTGAAAAAACATGACAACAGTGCGCACCATCGATCCGCTGAACAAAATGTTCTGGTTGGCTCCACAACTAACACTCACTCACATGTATGTATCTGACTCCTTGTGCAGAAAGAGACTATCCTGGGTACCAGTCTGTTTAGCTAATATTCCACACCTTTTAGTCTACTATGGAGTACAAGGAGTGGAATGTTAGCTAAACAGACTGGTACCCAGGCTAGAAAGAGACTATCTATGACTCAGTCTTACTTATTCAACAAATGCCTTGTAAACCTCCAGATGTCAATTACACTGCATGATTCAGGGCGGATGTTCTTACCTGTCTTCGACTGCTTGCGTTCATTTGGAGAGGGACCTGACCGTTGCTGTTCATTTGGGTGACTTCCACCTTCATGTCTTAAAAGAAAACACATTTAATGTACAGTGTAGGCTACCACACTCTTATGTAACATGTTTTATTTTCACAAGCCCTAGCTGGCACTTTTGTTGTCCTGATGATTTCTATTGTCCAAAGTCCTGTCTTATCATATGATTTTACAATAATAGATTGTGGCTGGAATTTACAGTTGCAGGTTGATGTATAATCTGATTATATAGAAGTGTTCTTCGATATTGTTTAAATGATAACGTGCACTTTAACAAAAGCTTGCAGTGAAAAACATCAACATCTAATCAGGGTTTATCTGTTGGATCAACAGGACAACCGTCTATTTACATAGGGCAACAAAAGCAGGCTAGTGGAAATTCTGCATGCAAAGCATAGGCCCAATTTGTAGACCTACTCTTAAGGAGCCTAACCTTCCCCTTACTTTTCAAGGTCCAAGGAACTTATACCGTATGTTATTTTCAGAGGTAGACTGGCTCTGACAGCCATCTAAACGTGAAACGATTCTCAATTGCGATACGGTTCTAGAAACATAAAGCCATTTACTTTCATATCACATCAAAATAATTTCACAAATGCAAAATACACACACACTGTAGGCTACACTGTTTTAACCGGCTTAATCACGGTTGCAGCCAAAAGTATTTTTCAGCGATAACACGTTTCTGGCAACCTTCTTCCTGTTACACACAGGTGTTTGACGCGTACTAGATAGCTAATTAGCACAGGTGGTCCCTCCGTCATCCGCGCTAAAAAGTGGAGATAGGCTATGGTCGTGTGGGAACACTAACCATGTAAAGGTGTGTATCAATTTTAACGTTTCATTTTTTGAAAAATGTTTCTCGCTGATATGAACGATAAGGTCCTTATGTTTCCAAAACCGTACCGCAAGCAATGCGTGTTAATGTTAAGACCGAGCGTAGGGGCTCTTAACAAAACACCGATCCAGAAGACGCCTTCCTCCAATGATGTGTAATGGAACTGAGTGTCATGATCAAGGGCTAAGGCCTAACCATCGGAGTCCAGGTAACCATCATCAGTCTTTTCCTGACTTATATTTTGTCAAGTAAAGCTACAGTTTGCTAAATAGACTGACTGCCCTATTGACTGACTACAATGCTTTTTACAGAATGCATAAGGCTCAGTGAAATTGATAGCCTGTAGAATACAGTAAGTAGCAAACTCCAGATCAGTATCCAATCTAACGTTAATAGAAGGAGATGAGAGCAATAGGTAGGTACTGGTAGCCTAATACTTACTGCTTAAGTTTCCTCGGTCGATCGCAATCTAAGCAATTGTGTTTCCAGTCCGGAGGCTATATACAGCCTATTATTTTACATAACAAAGTCGCAGCTTCAATTTGATGTTTTTACAACCCTATACGACTTATGATTGGTGGATAAATTGTCAGCTGACCATGAAAAACGCACGAAGCTGCACTTGCCTCGATGGCTTTCGTAATTTTCTATCTTCTACATGTATTCGGGTGAAGGTTGAACGAACTGTTCATTGCCTTTCCCCTCAAACAATGTCTTGGTTGAGCGGGTGATTTTCTTTTTTTTTCCCCCTGGGAAACGTTATGGTAGCCTATACTGACTTCGCCTTTTCCTGTTTAGATTCAAGATTGTGACTGAATTGGACCACTGTCAATTCCATATCTTAAATTGATCCTGTGTTTCTGGACCAGGCATGCAAAAGTTTAGTATAGAATAGAAAAAAACTACTTTAATTTTCCTGTGAGGGAACATCTTGTTATGTTGACTTTGTAGCACAACATTCAACAAGTGATAACCAGACCGTTGTTCTACAGAGAAAGGGTGTGAAAAATAGGTATATGAGTGGAAATGGTAACCCTGGCAAGAGAGACTGATTAAACAGATTTTCGAACATCATCTATGTGAGAATATCAGGAGATGACAAGTCCTGTCTGCCCCAGGTTTTCCCCAGCTGTCGTACTATGCCAGTTACATGTGTTTAACTGAAAGTATTGCTTCTCCCAAGAGTTTATGGATGGATGTCAGATGACTATAAATCATCTGTATAACTCAATCTTCTGTCATATTATGGAGATGTTTCATATTGGTGATTTGAATGCTGTATAATGAAAGTGCACCCAACTGCTTGACACATTTATTTATTCCCCTAATGCAAGTATTATGTTATGTAAATGTCAGTATGTATTTGTATACCAGCCGGAAACCCCCTGCCAACAAACACTACTCATGTAGTCAGTCATCTTTTTGACTCTGCTGAAAGAACAAAAAGCCACAGCATCTCTTTCAACTTTCACCTGATTAGCTTTGCCTAAATTGCCTTACAGGTAACATGTCTGCTATATCGCATATATTAAGTAGAGAAGCTCCAACGCACCTGCTAATAACCTACTGTACTCTGGCGTGCATTTCACTACTGAAACGTTGTACTGCAAGTACTGCAACATTGTTGTGTAACATAATAATAAGCCTATATTGGGGAAGCTTGGTTTTTGGGTGAAATATAATTCAATAATATGATGAATGTGAGCCAATCTTCTAATCTAACCAATAATCACTTGACTTTCACTTTCTAGAATTCCACCTCTGACCTCTGACCTCTAACCCCAGACGGGTCACAGGAAGATCAACGTCGAGTTCCAGGCAGACTATATTGCATTAGTGGCATTGCATCAACCAATGGTTGAATCAATCAACAGCAGGCATCTGCAATGTAATCAGCCTGAAACGCAGCCCGCCCAAGTGTCTGGCATTGAGATGGCTGGACTGACTGTTCATTTACTTTTGGTAGAAACTAGAAGTTGTGGAGTCCTCTGACAGACAGCACCTTATGTGGAAGCTCACCTCTTGCCTTCTAGATTAATGTCTTGTTCAACAGCCTAGATAATTGAGACTAGATCGGGAGAGACTGGTGGTGTTTCAAACATTTTTATAGGAAAGAAGGAAATACCACTTCAACCAATGTGAAATTCTACAATGCATTTGTTGGATGGTAGTCTGCTCTTACCATATTTGTTTTATTAGCACTTAAAGATGCATCTATTTGATAATGCTTTAGTACGTTTTTTTGTGAGGATCCGGTCTGTATCAATGGAAAAATATACAAGCATTTCCCTCACCAGACATATGCCAATGATCATTTATAGTAATGTAATAATGTACATGCCAATGATAATGTTCTCTCTCTCTCTCTCTCAATGCTGTAATGACCTCTAGTGTGGCAACAGCCTCACTGCACCTGCACATGTTCATATGTAGCAGAAGGGGATCTGTGAAACTCACCCCTCAGCCTGAAGTGTCTCCGCTTGTGCTGGCAAATAGCTAGCTTTTCGTTGGCGTGACTGGGTAAGATGCTTTAGGATGGCCGTTGTGTGTTTGCGAGGCAGAGGTCCTGGGTTTGAGCCTCGGTATGAGCTGAATCACGAGGAAGTGGTGGGCCTACTCGCTAAGCAAGCAGTGTGACATCCTTTACACATTAACATGATATCCAACCTCTGTCAAGATGTTTGATATTAAAAAGTTTGATAGGCTACAATTGAATTCTGCAGAACCCCCCCCCCCCCCCCCCCCCCCCACATCAATCACACATTTCCCGGAAAACTACCCTTTTCGTCCTGCTGTTGCCCTTGTTTACACTAAGCTGCACTGGGGTAAGACACAATGGAGCCGGCACGAGATGTCGGTTGGAAAACGTACCTTAATGCAGGGATGGGATATGCCACTGTACTTCAAATTTTACCTTTATCCACACTGATACATCGAGAAGATTGAAATACTGCTAGTTTTCCCAGAAAACTGCCCTTTTCGTCCTCATGCTAGCTAGCAGTAGGCACAACAGCCATTATGGAATAGTAGGTCGCCTTAAATAACAAAGGAGCTGATTGGCTGACACTGCCATTCCAAAGTTCCTGTGGTGGCTAGCATGAGGACGAAAAGGGCAGTTCCGACCTCGGTGCAACTCAGTATAAACAAGCGTAACGGTGGGGTTGGAATCTTCTGGTAATGGCTTAGGAATAAGGGCTTGTTAATAGTGGGCTTAGTGCACAGGGTTAAGATCTCAGCGCGTGCACATACCATTGAAGTATGTCTATAAAACACATAGGTTTCTTGCCCTCTGAAGCAATGACTAGTCTATTAATTCCAGAACAGTAGCGTATAGAGTGGTGAGTCATGTGCGCTCTGTAGAGTTGCTATTTTCTCGAGTTTTCACGCGTCAATTAACTTGTGACATTCCTGGTTTACTCGTTATATTAATACAGTATAATTTGATCATTAAATACGATAATTATTTTTAAAAAAGTTTAACGCCCACACCAGCGAAAATTCACTTTTTTTCAGCTGAAACACGATGCCCAGAGCTTACCCGTGATGTTGCACAACGATTTAAGTCAATAAGTCACCGTTTGAGTCAAAGTATGATATATTTGGGCTTGAAAAGGGAAATCAAAAGTTAAACTTTGGATTTTTCCGCATCTATGCCATGTGTTTCCTAATAAAATGACATACATTTCGATCTGACTATACGTGTCTTGCGAGGGCTGGCTTTAGTTAATTTGGAACCATCTACAAAACATGTACATGTATGGCCTCATTACTATCTGTTTACATCCTGGTGTTACGGCTTATTGCTGTCTGTAATGCACTTACACTATATATACCAAGGTATGTGGACACCGCTTCAAATTAGTGGATTCGGCTATTTCAGCCACACCTGTTCCTGACAGATGTATAAAATCGAGCACACAGCCATGCAATCTCCAGATAGACAAACATTGGCAGTAGAATGGCCTTACTGAAGAACTCCATTACTTTCAACATGGCACCGTCATAGGATGTCACCTTTCCAACAAGTCAGTTAGTAAACTTTCTGCCCTGCTAGAGCTGCCCCGGTCAACTGTAAGTGCTGTTATTGTGAAGTGGAAACGTCTAGGAGCAACAACGGCTCAGCTACGAAGTGATAAGCCACACAAGCTCACAGAACGGGATTGCCTAGTGCTGAAGCGCGTAGCACGTAAAAATTATCTGTCCTCGGTTTGCAACACTCACTACTGAGTTCCAAACTGCCTTTGGAAGCAACGTCAGCACGTGAACTGTTCATCGGGAGCTTCATGAAATGGGTTTCCTTGGCCGAGCAGCCGCACACAAGCCTAAGATCACCATGCACAATGCCAAGCGTCGGCTGGAGTGGTGTAAAGCTCGCCGCCATTGGACTCTGGAGCAGTGGAAACGCGTTCTCTGGAGTGATGAATCACGCTTCACCATCTGGCAGTCCGACAGACTAATCTGAGTTTGGAGGATGCCAGGAGAACGCTACCTGCCCCAATGTAAAGTGCCAAATTTAAAGTTGGTCAATGGTCTGGGGCTGTTTTTCATGGTTCAGGCTAGGCCCCTTAGTTCCAGTAAAGGGAAATCTTAACACTACAGCATACAATGACATTCTAGACGATTCTGTGCTTCCAGCTCTGTGACAACTGTTTGGGGAAGGCCCTTTCCTGTTTCAGCATGACAATGTCCCCGTGCACAAAGCGAAGCCCATAAATAAATGGTTTGTTGAGATCGGTGTGGAAGAACTTAACTGGCCTGCACAGAGCCCTGACCTCAACCCCATCGAACACCTTTGGGATGAATTGGAACGCCGGCTGCGAGCCAGGCCTACTCGTCCACCGTCAGTGCCCGACCTCAATAATGCTCTTATGGCTGAATGGAAGCAAGTCCCTGCAACAATGTTACAACATCTAGTGGAAAGCCTTCCCAGAAGAGTAGAGGCTGTTCTAGCAGTAAAGGGGGGACCAACTCCATATTAATGCCTATGATTAATATTGGAATGAGATGTTCGACGAGCAGGTGTCCATATACTTTTGGTCATGTAGTGTAGTTCGAGCTGGAGCTGTGGGATGGGCTGACAGGGAAACGGTGAGTAAGAGAAAAGCTAAAATTATTCTGACGAGCTACTGACGTTCACTTGGCTATAGTAAGCAGCCTGGCAAGGCAAACGTTAGCTGAACGAGTTATCAGTGGCTAGCTTTATGGCTAACGTCGCCTAGCTAACATTAGTGCAGTGATGTAAATCCATATGAAGTAGCTAAGTTCATGCTGTATATAGCTCAGTGAGTAAATCACTGCTTTACCAGTACTAATGCGACTGCACTGTTTTTATGTTACCGAACGCGAAGCTGTCTCCAAAACTGCAAGGCGTCTTTACAGTAATACACCTAGCTGTCAAAGGGAATGTGTGATTGCTGGCCAATGTGATATGAAGGTGAAGAAACTGGATGTTGAGGTCCTGGACTGGTGTGGTTATACGAGGTCTGCTGCTGTTACGCCGGCCGGATGTACTTCCAAATCTTCTAAAATTATGTTTGAGGCGGCTTATGGTAGAGAAATAAACACTACATTCTCTGGCAACAGCTCTGTTGGACATTCTTGCAGTCAGCATACC